AACAAAGAGTTAAGAACAGGTAGAGATACGTCACACCTAGCTACCGTCTCTGTGGTCGTGTTAAATAGTAGATATCAGAGAACCGGGAAGCAAACACACGCCGACATGTGCCGGGGTAGGATGCTGGTGACCAGCCAGTCTTGGCGATGGATTCGGCGATTACTAGTCAGAACAGCATCCGGTTCTTCCGCGGCCCTGATAGTGCCTCTTCGTGTTGCATACTTGGGGAAGTGGCATCTCAAGATATGCTCTGTTGCGCAAGTGACGTTGCGTCTACCGCCACATCGATTGCCGTGTGTCTGCCGAGGTCGTCCGTTCGAGAAGTGCATTTAAACATGTGCGCCAACACCTGACGTCAGGTAGCAATCCATTGAGGGTCGTCGGCAGTTGTTGATACTCCAAGGCTTTGATATCTTGGTCAACACCACCAATAATCCTTGGTGTTGCGCAGCGAGCAGCCCAAAGTGCAGCGAACAACCCGAAATATAGGGGAAAAGACGTGTGCTTCAGTGACATCGCATCGATCGCCGCATCTATGGCAGCAAATGGCTTCGAACCTGGACTTGTCGAAGACGTCCTTCCCGAAGTAGCATCGGGAAGCGAATGTCAATGACCAGCGAGCCTTTTGATGTCTTCGACCGCCGGTATTCCAACCCTCTGAATTCTTACCAGCTACCACCGATGAGCCCTGATATTCAGCAGAAGGCAACCCGAACAGGCCCGATGGGACGGCGCAAGCTCTGCAGGTTGTTAACTCTCTTGTCGCCCGTAGACGCGAATGTCAATTAGGTCTGCGTGGTAATTCTCCGGAGCTTCTTCCGCGAAGCCCAGACGCTCCACAGTCGAGCTAGCGACACTCAGGGCGGGATAGCAGATGTGTCCTGGATACAATCCGCGAAGTTTTGCAAGCTGCAGAGTATGTCCTCGCCGACAAAGACAAAGTGTTGCGGCGCAGGATGCGGCGCATGAGTGTCTATCTCCAACCGCAATAACGCCGAATCGCAAACCGGCGCAGGATGTACATAAGATGGGAAGATAGAAATGGCCCGGGAAAGCCCCAGCACGCAGCGTGATGCTGTTGAAATTCGTGCTGGTTTGACTCGGCTCGCGGAGGGGAGGAAGAAGAGCTGGCTGCGGATACTGTGAGACAGGAAGACGAACGGACAGGCAAGTACAGATACAGCTCTTCTGGACGGCCTGTGGGACTGGGGTGGATGCTCGGATCTTATGGGCGAGCACTTCTAAGTGACTTCAACCGCAGCAGCCAAGACCCCGACGCCGAATGATTGGCAGACACAGAACACTGATGTCACAGACCATCCTCGTGGCATAATTGGGATGATGATGTCCTGATCACCGTCTGCTTCGTAGCAGCGGCCGCGAATATCCGCAGACTTGTGAACACGAGGACCGCCATAACAAAACCTGAATCATCGGGTACGACCCCCAACCAGGACGGAATGCCAGTAGTCGGTGTATTATCAGCATTGATGTCGTCTCTGATTAGACCAGCCCAGAACAGCACCAAGGCGTGTCGCTGGTTGGTTGGGCCGCAGCAGTCTGTATCTCTGAGAACCCTCATCCGCGATATTGGGCTACCACTCCGACAGGCGAGAGAGCCACAGTAAGTCATTTTGGTGTGGAATTGGGCCCGGGAGCATACAAAGGAGTCCAGTAGCATATTTCGCCTCCGGACCGATATAACGAACATCGTCAGCAACGCTGTCGTTAGTACCAGCACGGCAGCTAGATGGATTAATTGGCGTCGCGACGCGCCTCCCGAGGAGAGACGCTTTCAAGCTGCCCTTCATTGGCTGTCTCCTTATGAGTAACTTAGGACATTGGCCGATGTGGACTTTGCTATCGAAGCCAATTTGTGGGCAACAGCCATAGTCGTATATCGATGATGACCAGAGAAAACTGTGTATAAGGTGTCGCTAAATGTTGAAATCAAGGCGTGTCGAAACTTCGAGTCGTAACGACACAGAGAAGGCCGTGATGAGAAGCAGTACTCCGGATTCCAGGCTTCCATCTTTAGGTTGCCATGGTTGGTGCGATCTGGGTATGGTTTCGAACGCGAAAGCAGGAGACGTGCCATTTCCCGCAGAGTGAAAGCGACGTATCGTACTCAGTACCTTCACCCCAAGAGCCAGGCAATACGGCCGGACTCGTGCACAAGCAAAGAGACAAAGCTGTCCGTCGAACTTGCTGACATATTCAATGTCATCATCGTCAGAAAGAGCGCCGGTCATATTATCTTCATTGCCAGAGGCAGCGAATCCGGATGGTAGTCGCCACGCCCCCCCAAGGCGAGATGCTCACGGCAGGAAAGAAGAGGACGGCCTGGGAAGGAAGGGGACGATCTGGGGATCCACAAGCTCTTTATTCTCCAGTTTGTACTTGCCGTCTTCGGCTCTCTCTGATTTGACGACTTGCTGTTCTTCGGTATGTTCCCGAAGTTGCTGTCATCGTCTCGATGACCCACACGCAACAGCAGCGGAACGCAACCGCGCGCCATGAGATGCCAATCGTACTGATTGAGCCAAGCCTCGCCGGGGACAATAACGCCAGAGAGGCCATGGCACTGGGTGGTAACGCAGCCAGGACCTAGATGCCATCCTTCGGGACACTCTTCTGAGGGTCAACGTCATACTTGACGTGACCATGTACCCATCCTACATCGGGCCGCAGCAGGCGCAGCACTCGTCCGTCACGGGTGTAGCTTTCCTCAAATCGGCCTTGCATGCGAGGCGCAGTCACCAGTCCGTGGAGTGGTGCAAAAGCTTCCAAGGCGCAGATTTATGGCTGAGCCGTGGTCGACCTCTTGGTCACCGACGTCTTCGCCGGCGTGATCTTGAACGACTTCGGAGTCTGCTCCCTTGTCATAGATCTCAACGGATCCGACTGAGCCGACGGCGGAAGCCAGCACAATATTGCTTTGACAGCTTTTCGGTGCCGGCTACGCTCAACGCCACTGAGATGCGGGCCCAGGTCTGATGGACACAAACACCACCGTAATGTGGTAATCGGACTGGTCAAGCAGTCTTAACTCAGTTGCTCCGTTGAACAGGAGGTCGAGAGGCATGAGTGAGTAGACTGACCAGTGACGAACGAGATGCGCATAGGTTCGCATGACGAGCGCGTGAAGCAGCGAGTGAGTGGGACGAAAGTAAGAGATGATGGTGGCAAGTAGCCCGGAAGCTCTTACACAGGCGAGCTTTTAGATGTCAGCCGAGGTCGCTCAGCATTAAGGTAGTCTCCACTGAGGCTACTAAAGTATGCTAGGACAGCAATTTGGGAGCAGGGGCTTGCTGGGTGAGCGAGTCGAGAGGTCGAAACACCGTTCTCGTTGTCGCTCTGGTCGACGAACTCGACCGAACTGGGTTCTGAAGCCTCCGGCATACTTGGGAGTCGTGTGGCTTGCGTCTCTCTAGACCTTCGCGGCCGCTTGCTGACGCTCCTGGCGTTCCATACGATTCGCGAAGGAACGCCATTCCCTAGCCATCTTCCCGCTGCCTACTACAGCTCAACATCACCGAGGCTCACTGATCCGTGGACCCGGGGCTGGAGAGAGCAGCCACGCGCCGTTGTCGAGGATTGGGGTTGGTCGGGGACCTCAACTCGAATGCGATAGCCAGGCCCTGGAAGTCCCAAGACACGCACGGCTGGGATGCCAAGGAAACTGGATGTCGCGCGCAGTCTTCTGCGAGTGGACAGTGACGCATATGGGACGCAATGATTCGATCTCAAATGATCGCAGCTAGGTGAGCGAGGCGAAAGGGCGAAACATTGTTTCCCCGGTAGCTTTGTTCGATAGACTCGACGGGGTTTGGGGCAGAAGCTAGAACACCGCCGCGATATGACTCTGTGACTTCACATCACAGAGGCACGGGCCCAGGGTTGTAAGGAAGAAACCATGGCATGGGAACCTGCCAGGTTGAGCAACCAGTCGCAACTGAAATGCTTCAGCACGCCCTGGGAGTTCCAGGAGGTGAGCAGGAAGAGCAGTAATGGCTCTGTATGCCGCTTCTGGGGGATGGCTGGGGATTGACAGTCAGGCATGTGCGACGCGACCATGGGCGGATCCATCCATGCGCTCGTTTGAGATCGAGCCGCCGCGAGGTGAACACCGGGATGTGGTGTCGAGCTTGTCGTAGACTTGGTTGCCGACGGAGGGAGCCAGCACAACACTGCTCAGCAAGTTCTCACTGTTGGCACCAGCACAAGATCCCAATAGGAAGGGCCCGGGACTGTAAGGGGGCAAACACCCGCCATGGCATCGTTATTGGCCTCCTTGAGCGAGTCTCACCTCAATTGATCCCGCATCGTCAATCGCGGGGCTGAGGCGACTCCTCAGATACCAGCCCCAGAGCAACCCGTCATTGCCCGCACATGTTTTCAATGGCCCTTTTCCTCGCCACCATAGCCCTCTGAGTTGAGCCCGGCGTGGGTCAGAAAGGCGTTGAAGACCTTCACACACTCTGGCTGCCGCTCCCCGGCCTGGGATGGCAGTGCCGAGAGAGTCAAAGGCAGCGCACTTCTGTCTCACGATTCCACGCGCAGTATTCTGCGCGTGGACGATGAGGCATATCTATCACAATCGTGTTTTCTGCCTCATCCGGCCGCAGCTGGCTGAAAGAGCTGGAAACCGTCGCCCTGGCAAGGACAGCAAGTGGCCAACGAAGTCGACGAAGCCGGAAGAAGAAGCCAGAACACTACTACAACAGGTACGTGCTGCGACTCGACATCACAGGGCCCTGGGCCCGGGGTTGAAAAGATACGTAAATAAGTTGGCATCAGACGTCATGTGGGTGATACAGACACAAGGTGCATATCCGAATGGACGAAGTAATGTAAAGATGATATCAAGGGATGTTGGGTATAGGTATAGTGACAAGGACTGACTACTGCCATCAAAGTATGTATGTGGATGTGTGTACTTTTGCGCAAATGGATTGCTAGGATCAAGAAAGGTTGGGATGATGGAATTGGTAAAGAGGTCATAGCTTGGCATCATCCGGCGTCTTCTTCTCATCCGCCTCTAAAGCCTTTGGCGGCGCTGCCTCCACCGTCTTGTCTGTTGTTGTGGGGACGTCCTGCGTATCCTTGGAAGATGTGGAAGGGGTGTCAGCGGGTGTGGACTCGGACGTGGTCGCCGGCTCTGAAGGTGTCGTAGGCTCGTAGCGCGCTGGGCCGGAGACGAGTGCCTCATCCGCGGCGGTATCCTTCTTGGCGGCAACGGGCGCATTGGGGTCAAACACGACGGCGACCTCGTCGAGGGGTGTCGCGGCGCCTTGCGCGGCGAGCTGGATCTTCTTCTTCGCCTCGGCGCGGAAGTCAGTAGCCTCCTGCGGCGCACCCTCGGAGCCGGACACGGTGTGCCCCTCCCGGCCGCGGTCGTCCTTGATGTCGGTGCCGACCTCCGCCTCGAGCGCCTTGGTGACCCGCGAGACGGTACCCTTGGGGATGCTCTGCTGCGCATCCTCCGTGTCGCTGCCACCGTCCTGCCGCAAGGAAGCGCCGACGACCTCAGGCTCCTCCTTGTCATCATCGAGCTTGAGCGCGGAGCCGACGTTCTCAGTGACCTTGCGGATCTCCTCCTCGAGGTCCTCGTCACCGTCGGCAGCAGCAGATGCAAGCTGCCTCTCGGCCTCCTTCTCGCCGACGATGCCGCGCCACATGTCCTCGAGCTCATCGCGCCAGCCAAGCAGAGAAGCAAGCTTGCGCACGCCAGCATCACACGTGCCCAGCTCGACGACATCATCCGCGCGACGACCCATCTGGCCCACGCGCTCCCTGTTGAGCAGCAGCCTCGGCACACCCGACCGCGACGCCTCAGCAAGCCCGGCGAAGGGGTAGACAGACAAGCTAGTGCCCATGACGACGATGAGGTCAGCCATGGCGGGGAGGTGTGTGTTGTTGCGGAAGGCCTCGGGGAGGGCCTCGCCGAAGAAGACAATGTCGGGCTTAACGAGGCCGTCGCAGGTACCGCAGCGGGGCACGATCTCAGCCTGGACGTGCTGGAGCATCTTGTCGTCGGGGAAGGGTGTGGCGCACTCGATGCAGCGCTGGGTGGCGAAGGAGCCGTGGGCCTCGATGATCTTGTCGTCTGGGACGCCGGCGCGGCGCTCGAGGCAGTCGATGTTCTGGGTGAAGTTCATCTGGAGGAGGCCCTTCTTGGCGAGGAGGGCGATGAAGACGTGCGAGACGGTCGGGAAGAACTTGCCCGGGTAGAGCTCCTTGGCGAGGTAGTAGAAGGGTTCGGGGTGCTTGCGGAAGTAGCTGATGTCGAAGACGGCTTCGGCGTAGGGGAGGTTGAGGCGAGCGAGGTTGGCGTAGAGGCCGGTGCCAGGAGATCTGAAGTCGGGGACTGGAGGGGTGGAGTGTCAGCTGTGTTTGAAGAGCGAGAGTGTGTTGGCGCAAGGAGGGGGAGTGGGAGAGACATACTGCCTGCGGCGGTCGAGATGCCCGCGCCGGTCATGACGGCGATGCGCTTCACCTCGCCGGACTTGATGTAGTCGGCAATGGCGCCCAGAGACCTCGACTCGAGGGTCTTGGGGTGGACGCTGTCGTCCAGCATGGTGGACTCTTCATTGCCCATCTTGTTGCGCGGCCGATGCGAGTTGGGCCGGCCCTTGGGGAGTTTGTCGCGGCGTCGGCGGCCTATGGTGGGCGAGATTGGCGGGGTGGTAGTGGGGGGTAGAAAAGAACACCAAAAAAGTCTGCAGGCGTGGGGGCTGGTCGCAGTGTGGATTGGTGTTGGTATCGATGGTCAGCCGTGATTGAGAAACGTTGTCGCCGACTTCTAGAGTGGTTGGCGGGTGTTGGTGCCTGCGAGGATGAGAGGCAACAGATGTATGTCGATGTTGATGATGGTAAGAAGCGGTTCGGGACGGTGGTGGCTGCCTCGCCGGGTGGCTCATCGCTCAAAAAAGTCCGATGGCTCGTTTCGGTGTTACATCATGCGGCAACCCCACCCCCGCCATCCTGGAGCTCTTATCGCACGGTGACCCTTATCGCTAGTTGCGCGGACGGACCAACGGGCGTGAGCGGGAATAAGCAGTCGAGTTGGGGGCGACGTGAAGGATGGATGACCTAAGAAGAGGTCAGTGAGTGATCAGCACGGGGATGGTAGAGAGGATCTGACCAACAACTTCTGTCGTCAGGGCAAGGACAGAAGGAGATGCCCAACACCGAGGGACCGCGGATGAATGATGAAGAAGAAATGAAGCCACGTCTTCGGACGATGTGACTGAAGAGCTGAGGAAAGGCGTCGGCGAGGGCCCATCACGGAGTACGGACAAGAGAGGATCTGACCAGTGACTGCTGTCGACAGCTTCCTACAATGGAAGACCGGTAGAGTGTCGGACGGTCGCAACCCAGCGGTTGCCGATAAGAGAAGAAGGGAGAGCGAGTGGCGGAGAGGAGAGGAGAAACTTGCTGAGGAAAGGAGTCAGCAATTGCTAGCCGCGGGGTACGGGCAAGAGATGAACTGACCGAATGCTGTCATTAGCAGCGCGTTGCAAAGAACGAAGAAGGGGATCAAATGGTCACCCCAGAACGGAACAGGGGTGAGAGGGAAGATGGGAAGAGTTTCTCTGTTCTAGCCGTCTTGCGATTTGGTTGATGGGCTGGGGAAAGGAGTTAGCAAGCGTCCATCACAGAAGACGAAGAGGGAATCTGACCAGATACTGCCATCAGCAGCGTGTTTAACGGAGGGAGGAGAGGAGGAGAAGAGTAGGCAGACGATCAACAACTAAATGGCCGCACATGGCGCACGAAGAGAGAAAGATGAGAGAAGGAGAAAGTCAGGGTCAACTGTTCGATGGGGGTTTTACACATGAGGCAGATGGCTCTCTCTCCTTCGGTCATCTTCTGGCTTGTCAGGGGCCGGGGACAACCGCCTCATCGCGGGTATTTGCATGGAAAATACGAAGACGATCTGATTTCTCATGGTCCGTGTGTTGGACGCATTTGCGCTTCACGGGATGACTCCATCAATCAAGCACACAAAAATAAAAGTATCATGGGGTGTCGCCCTCACCGACGGATAGCCGTCTTAGACCAAGCAGCCAGCACCCGCAACATCTCCACTTATCACAAAACAAAACATCTAGATTCTGCATCTGTAGTCTAATTACCGCGCCAGGCCATGCATTAAACCAAACCCAAGCCAAACCTCTCAAAGCAGTTTATCCCCCGGCAAATGGTACCCAAACACCAGCACCGTTCCGCACACAGCCATCACCGTCGCCGCCATATACGGCAACCCGACCCACGCGCCGCCAATCCTTGTCCCCGCCCTCAGCAGCGCCGAGATCACCGGCGCCGACACCAGCGTGCTGAGCTGCTCGACCCAGCTGATGGCCGTGTTGAGCGTGCCGATAGTGTGCGGCTCGACGACAGCGTTGAGCACCGCGCGGCAGATGTTGGTGTACGTAGCGCCCATGCTGAAGATGACGAGCGCCGCGATGAGGAACCACGGCTTGTAGGCGACCGCGACCATGAAGCAGCCCAGGCTGAGGAAGACGCCCGTCATGCGCACGAGCCAGAGGTCGCGGATGAGCGGGTGCAGCGCCGTGCGCTTGGTGATGTACCAGCTGAGGAAGGGCAGCACGGCGAGGAGCATGGTCATGTTTGTGATTGTAGATACGGTGCCGAGCAGGGTTGCCTGTGTGTTGCCGTTAGTGACCGGGATGGATTTCGGAGGGGGTGGGTTCTGCCTACCTTTGCCCAGGACCATCCAAACAGGTTGTGCACGTACTGCGACGTGATTTCGACCTTGATGTACTTGATAATCACCGTGAGGTTGAAGCCCAACACCAGCGGGAGGATTCGCTTAGACTTGATGAGGAAGTTGTAGACGTGGTTCATGTCATTCTTCATCGAGTAGACAATCTGCTCCCGCAGCGTGCGCTTGGTGCTCTCGGCGCCGTCCGCCTCCTCCGCCCGGTGGAGCGTTTGCTCGACCTCCACATCGGCAGCCCGCCGGAACTCGGACGTCTCCGGGATGAAGGGTGGCAGGCAGGCGCCAAACGTGAGCAGGGCCTGGCCAAGACACAGCGGGAGCCAGGGGGACTTGGTTAGCAGGGCGGCGCTGATTGGGGCGACGACGAGCTCGCCTGTCAGGGCTATCGTGCCGACCTTGTAGTACACGGATGTCCTGGCGGGTTGTTAGATGGCTGTAAATCAACACACGTTTGTGGCACTTACAAGTTGGAGATTGGGACAACGTCAGAAATCATGGTCCACACCATGGCCTGGACGATGGCAGCGCCGCCACCGATGAATTGGAAGACTGCGCCGAACCAGACCGTCCAGAGAGGCAGCACGTTGGGCCACAGCACTGTCTCGCTTTAGCAAACGAAGCAAACGAAGCGTCGCGGATAATGCACTCACGCGGCTGCAGCATCCACATAAACTCCAAGCACAGACCAAACATGGCCAACGTCAAGACTGGTCGACGGCCGTACTTATCCGCAATGATGCCGTACGGGATGGACGTAATGAGGGCTGGACCACGTCAGAGGCCGTCTTCTTCACACATGCAGCACAGGACAACTCACGCGGGATACAATCAAACGAGTTCAGCCAGCCCTTCACCATGGCCAGCTCGCCCGCGACCTCGGGCCCCTTGCACACATCGTCCGCCGCGTCCGTCGCGATGTGGCCGGGAAAGCGCTTCTCGCAGATAATCTGCTCCATAATCTGGTACGTCGGCGGGACCTGCAACAGCGCGCCGACCTCAACAATCACGATGAAGATCATGGAAATCGCAATGACCTTGAACTGGTATGCGCGGCTGGGCGCGACCGTCGCGGGGAGGTCGTGCGCCAGCAGCGGCGTCTCCTCCTCTGGCCGGCGCTCCACATCGCGATCGAGGGTTTTGTTCGTCATGTTTGCACCTGTTTCTGTAGTTTTCTGCTCGCAAAGACGAAGTGGGCCAAGAACAAGCAGCTCAAATGCCGAAAAGCCAGCCCAGCGGAGGGAAACCAACACCAATAATTATTATACCAAACGAAGTCGAAATAATTAGAGAAGCAGGATGGAGAGTCGGATATGGTGGTGAGACGCTTCCTAAAGCAGTAATGCAAACCGCTTGTCGCCAAAAGTTCCAACACAGCCTAGGACTGCACCACGTATGTGAGAGGGAGTGAGAGAAACGGCACAGCAGCAGGCGTGGCGATTCCTGCGTCCCAGAGAGGAAGCTCATTAAAATAAGGGACCCAACCAACAGCACCAGAGCCGTTTGCGATTGTCGCTTGCGCTGCGGATGCAGCAGACACAGACCCCGGCCGTTAGGGGTCCAACAGGATGTCAAGACCATTTCGCGGCCGGCACACCCCTGCCGCGAGGGAAAGGCTCCTCCCCTGTGGCCGGGCAGCCAGCGATTGCGAGTCAGCCCAGCATCTCCGATGTGCTGTTGCCGCTGCTCTTGCGAAATCTAGAGGGCCGCGCGCAATCGCGAGTGCTGCTGATAGCGGATCCCGATGTCGTCGTTGGCCTGCTGGCGGGAGAGGTAGCGGTGCTCCCTGCATCTCCCAACCGCAGCGATGGGCCGTCGCGGTTTTGGGTCGGAGTTGTCAGCGAGAGAGCAAAAAGGTCCCGGGCAGCTGGTACGCGCCCACGTCGACCGCATCGCAGGTTGCTTCGCCCCAATCAACGGCCAACGCCGTGGCACAGTAGCACACCCGCCGCAACCAAGGCTCCTCGTCATCGCCCGTCGTACCACCGACTCAGATGCATCGCCAGCAGGTCGCGAACCGACGGACAAAACATCCAAGATGGCCAACTTTTTTCTCGTTTCTTCTGGCCCTCGTGACTCGGCGCGTCGCACCATCTCCTCTTCATTCTTGCACCTCGGAACTCTGTTCCTGCAGAAGCCTGAATGGCCCCATTCTGGAAGGCTCCGGCTGAGCGCTGTGGGTGTGCTGGCCGGCTGTCATGTCCATGCCGCCTGAAGGTCAAGTTCGTCCCATCGTCCCAACTATCAGACGTACGGAGGAGGGCCAGCAGCGATCGGCAGCGTGGTGTGATCTGCCACTGACAGTACTGTACGGCGCAGCCAGTGCCCTCCCTTCCAGCGCCCAGCATGACTGTTGTCCGTCTCTTTTTGCCGGCGGGCAGCCGAGTCTGCCAGGGATCCCTTCCACGTCGTCAGCCTTGAGACGAAAAAGCCCCAAAGCTTAAGCCCGACTGACGCGGCAGCGGTGCAATCTAATGCGATGTCGTAAATAACACAACCCACCCAGAATAATCTCGGACCGAGCTGCTTCAAGCTTGTGTATGCGCGGGTGGGGATTTCGAGTGATTGCACATACAGATCCTCGGAGAAATAGCGACGTCGTTGATAAAGGTCACTGACTCGATTGCCGACCGGTGTGTGTTGTTCGTCGTGGGGTTCTGGTGTCGATCCGCTCCGATGAGGGCCGTACAGCCGGTGGAATTTCGAGATCCTTGGCAGGTGGGAGTTGGCGGTATCAGGTCGCCGGCGGGTCTGGGAGAGGTTGGACGAGGAGGGGGTTCAGTGCCGTCGGCAACCTGCCTGCCACACATTGACAGGGCGCGCGCAATCTGCGCCGACCACCCATCACCATCCAACCTGCATTATCGCAGCCTCTGTGTCGCCAGATGTCGTTGAACGGCACAGCTTCCTCAAAGTAGAAAATCTACTAAGAAAGGAAAGTCAACCCAACATACATCAGACTGCAAGATGCCCCTAAGTAAGAAAAGGAGATAGTCTGTAGACGTTACTTTCTGCCAGCGTCCGCGATAAGAAGCATAAAGTGTAAAATCATATTCAGACCTTCCCTTCTGAAGGCATCCCCCAAAGTTTCCTCCCAACGAGCTTGTGTCGGCACTAAGAATGGCTGACTCAGCCTGTTAACCGCGGGGTCGTCCCCGCCAATTCCAGCGAAGCCAAGCTACCCCGCCAAAGCTCCGTTTCCGACTCCGTACCTACTCACGTTACCCTCCAACACCGCGAGACACGATACCGAACCCGATATCGCCCAGCATGTCCGGCAAAGCCAAGGTGACCGCCACGGGGCCTCTGGTACGTCATATATCCCTCGGACAATTCCTCTCATGCTCCCCGCATCTGGCGGTCGACAGCTAACCAAACCCCAAACCACAGCCTGACGCAGAAGCCCGCTGGATCAAGCTCTCCAAGATCAACTACACCGACCAGAACGGCACCCCGCGCACCTGGGAGTCCGCCGAGCGCCGCACCCGCCCCAAGTCCGGCGACATCGACGGCGTCGGCATCGTCGCCATCCTCGAGAATCCCTCCGGCCCCGAGATCATCCTGCAGAAGCAGTACCGCCCGCCCATCGACCAGATCTGCATCGAGGTCCCCGCGGGGCTTGTCGACGAGGGCGAGACCGCCGAGCAGGCGGCCGTGAGGGAGCTCAAGGAGGAGACGGGATATGTTGGTGTTGCGTCGGAGACGACGCCCATTATGTTCAACGGTATGCTGCTTTCTATTGTCTAGTGTGTGCGTCTCGATGCTGATTACGAGTGCTCCAGACCCCGGCTTCTGCAACACGAACCTCCGCATGATCCACGTCACGATCGACACCTCCCTCCCCGAGAACCAGAACCCCGTGCCGCAGCTCGAGGAGAGCGAGTTTATCGAGGTTTTCACCGTGCCCCTAACCGACTTCTGGTCTGAATGCGTTCGCCTGGAGAAGGAAGGCTATGCCATCGACGCCCGCGTGGGAACCATCGCAGAGGGCATCGAGCTAGCCAAGAAATTCAAGCTATAAACGCCCTCCCTTCTTTCCACTGTCTATGATGCTTCTTGTGATGATACCGTGACCTAGTTGAGACCCACGAAACGAACCTCCTCACACCTTGCCTTCCCTCCTCAACCCCTCCCACAGCGCCACCGCAGCAAGACACTTCGCATCCCTCGCCCCCTCCCTCCAAAGCTCCCCCATCGGCACAATCTTCAACGTAATCTTCTCCCCGTCCTCTCTCAACCCCGTCAACTTCCCGCTCCACTCTTTCAACTGACCCCTCGACACCCGCCTCTCATGACTATAAATCGTAATAAACTCATCACACCCGCCCGCCGACGGGAACATCGCCTTCGCCAACCCCTCCTCCTCGCCCTCCGTCGCTCTCCCCGCGCCTGCAAGCTCGCTCAAGCACGTCAACTCGTTCTCGTGAATCTCAATCCCGCACTCCTCCTGCAACTCCTTCGCCGCCGCGCCGGCAAAGCTGCCGCTGTCATCGACCATGCCCGCCGGCAGCTCCACGAACGACAGGCTGCCTGCCGGCACGCGCGGCTGCACCGTCAGCACGACGTAGCGCTCTTCCGGGGCGTCATCGGGGACCAGCATAAGCAGCATCGCGACGCTGGGCCCGCGCAGGAAGACGCTTGCGGGGAGGGTCTCGCCGGCGGCGTTGGAGACGTCGGCGGTAAGCTTGAGGAAGCCGATGCGCGAGGAGCCGAAGATGTCGTAAGTTTGCACGGTGATGCTGCGCAGGGCGTAGGGGTCGGCGTGGAAGGGGTGGGTGGCGGTTTTGGATTGGAGGGTGAGGGAAGTTGTGAGGCGGGAGAGCCAGTTCTGCGGTGTTTGTTAGAACCTTCCATTGATAGACGAATTGAGGAGTTAGGATGAACTCACGTTGAAAGGGCGGAAGGAGAGAAGCTGGGATTCGGAGAGGCCTTCTGGCAGCTTTACCTGGATGCCGTGATCTTTGAGGGTGATTGTCGACATTGTTCTGACGAAACGGGAATTCACTTGGGTGACGCGTTGAGAAAATGTGGCTGGTCGCAGAATGTTTCTGGATGAGGGACTGAAGTTATATGCGAAACGTCTCAAAGCAGGCGCGATTGTTCTCATTCTGCCTCGCGATTGACCTTCTTGAGTTGCACAGGTGTAGCCTAATGTAAGTGTAAGTGAATGAAAGGCTGACGTCAGACCTGAGGTGTTGGGTTAGTGGGGTCTGTGTGCCGATGGCGTTGCGCCAGAGAAAGGAAGGTACGATAAAAATATAAAAAGTATAGGATGACAGTTCGCTGAGGTAGAAACCGTAAAACAGATTGATTGATTGATATGTGTGCATTGCGTTTCGTAGAATTTTTCATTTATCAGTTGTGCTTTTCCTGCCTGCCTAATGCTGTTTATGCTATGCAAATGCGAACCGCCCCTCACCCTCCCTCAACTCCCTTCCCACACTCGCGATGCTAATGCGACAAAAGTAGAAGAATCCTTTCCCACACACCACAACTACCCGTAATCGGCTTTAAAACTATTCCCAGTGATAATATGAACCTCACAGATCATTTTTGTAAAAAGTAAAATTGCAAAAAGGACAAAAAAGTTCGGAATCGAACTGGGGGCCCCCAGCTGGATTCCTATGAAAAACAGCCGAGCTGTTTTTGCGCCGAGGGTACGTGTTCGGCCACCCACGCCCGTCGTCGACTGCGTGCTAGTCTCTGGGGTTGCGGATGAGAGTGATTCACTCCTAGATAAAGCCTTCTGCGGGTCGGATGGGATGAAAGGGTTGACGGATGGCCGGAGAGGTGCGGACAACTCCAAGGTGTGCGCGAGTCTTGTTGTCGCCAGAGGTGAGGATCCACCCAATCAACCCAGGAAGTTCTTCAGGTTCCCGCCAATATTCTTGAGGTCCAAGAGGAATGTGTCATGGCCGAAGAAGCTCATCTCCTCGCTCAGCTCGATGTGTGCCACATTTCGGTTGCCCGCCAGCTTGAGGGCCTGCGCGACTTCCCTCTGCTGCCACGCCGGGAAGAGGATGTCGCTGGCAACGCCAATGACGAGGGCTGGGGTGTCTCTCAGCGGGGAGAGTCCGGCGATCAGGTCCTCGGGAGGTCTCGACGACACCTCGACGGGCTGATCTGATGCGCCAGCGTTCGACTCCGGTTGCTCCTCGTAAGGCTTCTCGGGAAGCGTCAGACTGCAGGCAGCATCATTCCTCGTGGGCTCGACACCAGACTGCAGCAGCTTCTCACGCTCCGCTCTCCTCGCGCTGGCAGCCACCTGGTTCTCCCGTCCGAGGTCGAAAAGATCCATAGCCTTGCTGACGTAGAGCAAGCTGTTAGGGTCGTAGGTGAGGCAGAACTTCTCTCCAGCATGGTCGAGATACGTCTCGATCAAGAAGTCTGGGCACAATGCCGGCGGCTTGCTGGGATCCGCCCTCCTCCTTCCGAAGCGCTGCTCCCACTCAGGTCCCGAGCGATATGTAACAGTCGCGATCTCTCGCGCAAGCTTCATACCAGCGTGGGGCGGCACCCTGCCGTAGTAAAAGCCTCGGTTCCAGTTCGGGTCCATCATCAATACCTGACGCTGTGTGTGGCGCATCGCGATGCTGTACGGGTGACTCCTCGCGCAACCGCTAATGGACACAATCCTGCCCACGCGGTTAGGGAACAGCGTGCCGGCAGCAAGCGACTGCATTCCACCCATACTGGAGCCAACGCTGGCATACAGCTTCTCTACGCCGAGGCCATCCAGCAACCTGAACTGCGCGCGCACCATGTCCTCCATTGTCAAGATCGGGAACCGTGTCGCATATCGCTGGCCGTCCGCGGGATCGATACTACTGGGCCCTGTCGAGCCATAGCATCCTCCGATTACGTTTGTGCAGATTACGTGGTATTTATCCGTGTCTAGCGCAAGGCCCGGGCCGATGAACTTCTCCCACCAGCCAGGCTTCGGGTTACTCTCCGTAGAATGCGCATGCGACGACGCAGACAGGCCGGTGTGGAGGAGGATTACGTTCGACTTGTCCGCATTCATTTTACCCCACGACTCGTACGCGATATCGAACTCGGGCAGGACGCCGCCCCAGTCGAGGAGGAGGGGCTCTTCGCAGTGGTACGTCTCCGTTGCGCCGGCCGTGTACGAGGGCTCGTTGCTCGACTCGAACTTCGCTTCTAATGTCGCGGACCGGTTCTCAAGGGCGTCGAGGCACGGGAACGCCATCGCCGGGTTCGAGGCATCGCCGGGGCTGTTGGACGCTTTGCGCGCCGGCTTGGAGTGGAAACGGCGCGTGGGTTGTTGGGTGCTGAGAGCTGCGGCAGAGCTCCGAATCGCGGCGGGGGTGCTGGTGCGGGGAATTGGGGCGCAAGCCTGGCGCAGGGCCGCTGAGGCGAGTCTTTGGCACTTCATAGCGACAATTGTGACGGGATTGAAGCTATGGAGGGGCGTGAGAGGGGATCATGGGCCCTTGGCAAAGATATAGCCACCGTCCTTGGTGTTTCTTGCGGCCGGGTTTGTCAGCTGGAAGTAGAGCTCCATTGTCGGCGACAACGATGGTGCAATCTCACGTGACGATAAGCGATAAGTGGTGCAATGGAGGTTCATTTCATGACATCAGTCGCGACATTCTTCATTCACTGAGCCATTTGCCCCCTTCATAAACTTAGAGAACCCCTAATTAATAAGACTTTTTAGCCCATCGATAAGGATACTAAATATACCACCTGAATCTTTACCTTATAGCGTTTCGCCTACGAAGACCTATCCTCTGATGGTGCTGCCCCGAGCAAGATTATCTGAAATCAGGGCGTACAATCCAGACGACGTTTCATTGGCTGAGCTCATTGCCAGGCAGAAACATTGCCATTTTTTACCCTTCGGGGTTTTTTTTGGTTTTTTTATGCTTACCTGTCTTCCTGTCCCCTCCACGTCTCAGCAGCTATCCGACGGCTCACAATTCGAACTCTTCAGTGACACTTTGAAATAACAACCCTGGAGCCCTTTGACATCATTACTATAAACCAGTGTCGACTTGTCGTGCCGATCCGTGATCGCCGTATGCGAGTCGTCGAAACGTTGACATAAGCTGGGCAACAGATCTGAAGGCGGATACTCACTCTCTCCCGACCGGAGGTTAACACAATAAGCAGCGTCATTTACACAGATCTGATGCTTTCCTTCGAGCGGAAAAGCCATCAAGGGAGTTGGATCGAGTCGAGAAACAAACACGTCGGTGGTTCATCTAAGAATCGTGCCAAAAGCGGTACTGCCTTGTTCCCGTCCAACAATTCGATGGCACCCAACCAGGCGAACAACTCCATTCGCTCTGTTTCATGCGAATTCTGCGGCACTACACGAAGTTGTGCTAAAGATTTGCTACGGCATATACGAGCGGCCCATAGCAGCAGTAATTACTCGTTTACGTTTCGTAAATCATTCACACGCAAGGACAATTACATTCGGCATCTAAGGACCTGTAAGGTGAAGCATGATAAAGGTCCTTTCTTGTGCATCTGCGGCAAGAAACATGGCATTTCTGACAAGCACCTGGCACATATCCAAGATTGCAGAGTATGGCGACCAGACCGTTCGTCGTTGGGAAGAATAGTCACTACGACGGCACCAATTCCGAAACCGCCCGATGTTGCCACCGCAGCACCCGTCGCCGAACGCGCCGAGAGCAGCAATAGCAAAGTAAAACAGGCTTGCTGGGAATGTCAGCGCCGGCGCGTAGTATGCGACTCGGCCCGTCCCGTATGCCCTCAGTGTAGGCTTCAAGGCATTGTGTGCCCCGGGTACGACAACGTGAAGCCTCTGACTTGGCTAGCCCCCGATCGGATCACGATGCGGAAGCGGAAGACCAAACAACCAAACACCAGCCATTCTCAATCGTCGATTCCTTCATCCCGTCGCCCGACATACCCGCAGATTTCCCTCTTACCCCTGACACATCCTGTACCCTGCTTCAAAGTTCCCCGCACCATCTCAAAAGACAACACAGCCAGCGAGTCTGAAAGGTCAGCCCGCTTGATGAGTGATTTCGGTCAAGCACGAAGGTATATCAGACAGGAGCCACAGCTGAGCAATGCGACGGTTGCCACTATTTCCGACGGGCGTCCTACGGCTCCTTCAATCCCTCCTAGATCCCAGGTCCCTCCCCTGCCCTCAGATTCCTCAAAGAACAGACCATTCGCCATGAACAGTCCCAAAGGCATGGCTGATTTTGATCCGCTTTCGTTTGTAGACCACTTACTTGGTCAGGGACAGCGACCTCAACTTCGACTTTGACAGTTTCCTTCAAAATGGTGACAACCAGGCTTTTGGTTTTAACTTCGGCCCGTTTGGAGTTGACAGGAATTAGGTGTAGATTTGTTTTAGACCTGCGGAACACAAAAGACATTTAATCCGAGAACCAGTGCGATCATTTTTCTCCATGGATAGCTGAATGAGTCGGTAATTTCAACAGGAGCGGGAGGCCATCATGTCTGCAGGAGGTAAAGGCGCACATCTAAGATGCGTGCTATAAACTAACAACTATGAGGAAGAGAAGAAGTTGACAACCGCCTCCGACGGCTGAATAGCAGCGCCGGACGATGACGTCGTCTGGTAAGTCCACGTCGCAGGCCCCACGCCGCACTGACGTCAATTTAACCTTCCCGTTTAGCTAGTGGCACCAGTGCTCTAGCGGCCTCCCATCGACCCTGAATGTGGCCAGCACAGTGATGAACTGACGTCGCCTCCGTCACACGTCAACCGACGCGTACGCTACTCGAGACCGTTACCGACATTCACTACCCCTCCATCCGCTCCTCAAAAGCACCTCTAGTGACATACGTACCCATGTCGAACTTCTTCTCGACTTTACAACAATACGCCAGACCTCTCGCGACAGTTGCAGCAGGTGCGTTCCTCGCTAGAGCTATGGCGTTCCCCGACAACAATGGGCCCGAGGGCCAATCATCAACCCAACAAGTTCCCGGCGAATACAAACCCACATTGGCCGATGTTCTCGTCGTTAGAGTCATGCTGGAGAAGGCCGCCAAGTTCCCGCCCGAGCTTCTTGACCTCATCTTCGACCAAGCCGAGTACTGGCCGCACTCCGAGGCCTCCATGACATGGCAAGTCAATGTCCCCCGCGGCGGCGCCGGCATTATCGGCGGAGACCCCGATGGCGAGAACAAGCTTCTCCTGAGATGTCCCCCAATTGGATTCACCGACTACCGCAAGGTCGGAGAGGCGTTCAAGACGGCCCCGCTCCCGCCCAAGGATGTTGACGGCTCGGCCGTGGAAGGGCCCCTGCAGAACTTGACCCTCATGGAGCCGAAATCGAGTCCGACCCTGCCGACGCGCGAAGCTCCGAGGGAGTACTTCGAAGGGTCCATGACGCAGCCTCCCGCGCTGACCAACCCGGTTCGAAAGATTGTGTTCAAGCTACGCAGCAAGGACCAAGGTTGGGGCGGCAGCCACGAAGACAAGGGCACGTATGGGGGATCGTGGACTTGGTTTGAGGCGGGATTGGAGAAGTTTGACGAGGAGCGCAAGTGTAAGTTGCTCTTGATATCGACGAAGATAACGTCCCACTAACACATTTTGGAACAGGCGACGGTTCTTGCAAACGATCATCACCGAGCCCACCCCCCGAGCCCGAGTCGTCGGAGAACAGTATTACGCATGGTAGTAGAACTTCGAACTTCTGTACCTGCGGTCTTCAGTCCGTGTATCCCCCCGTTGTTTCCACCTCTTCGATGACGGCCTATCACCACCACGTCCACGCCCTCGACAACCTCAAGATCCAGGCCAATAAGACGGCACATAGGGAATTCGTGGACCACGAGGTGACCTGGTCATGGACGGACGATATCCACCCTGAATCGCCTGAGGGCGATCGCCTAGCGGAAATTGGTCGCGGAAAGGGTACAGGCACGGGCAACTTTGTCCGCAGCTTGAAGCTGGGCGATGTTGTCACGGTCTGGGGCAAGGCTCGGTTCGGTGGTTGGCGCAATAATGTCGAGAGCGCTAAGGTGGAGATTTACTGGGCGATTTGAGCTTCTTTCGCTTCGCTTGGACGGTGTCTTTCCCTGAAAACAATTCGTTAATATCTGTTAGTTCGGGCGGCGTTTTGGTAACGAAAAGAATGAGACATGATCGTTATGCTGGTTTTCACTTGTTGCGACGACCAAGTCGCGTTGCCAAATCTGCTGGTGGTCCCGTTCAGTGATGATTGTTGGTACGACGCGGCAGGCGCGTGGCCCCATTGGATCGGCCGTTATGGCCCCTCATTGGCCTTCAGCGAAGCGAAGTGATGATCAGGCTGATAATCTGCTTCCTCTTTGCGCCATTTTTAATTCACCAGAAGCGTGCACATCATCCGGTCCCCTTCATGGCCGCTTCATGATGGAGGCTTCTCGGATGCCTGATCAGCTACAGGAACTTGTGTCAGAACTGGATCGGCAGGCACAAGAGTGCACGAGAAACGATACTGGCGCTTCGGGAGAAGCCATCGAGGGGCTGTTCACCCTCCAAAGTCAAGGCGTTCACTATGCGCGCGCCCTCAGAGAGCTTCAGAGCTCGATCGCAGGTATGTCGCTTTGCACTTCTTCAACTGTTCCCCAATAGCATATCGCTGGGTGCTGATTTTCCGCTGCTAGAATGCCTAGCAGAACGTAGAGATTGGCATGCAATCCCGATACCGAACGAGTCCCTTCTGTGGAAGGTCTGCGCCTTCTCACGATCCTCGGCGCGAATCGCAGATCCTACGTTTATGCGAAAAAGAATCACCACATTTCTCAAGCTGGTAGACAGACGGAGTAATAATGATGATATACAAGGTATCTGGGAAAACAAAGCCATAGAGAATTGGGTCACCTCAGACACCCCATCAGCCCTGTTTCTCGAAATCCCATTTCGAGGATCCGGCCGAGTGCGTCGCTTCGCTTTGGACCTAATAGACCACCTTGATAAACATCATCCGGTTCTCTCTATGATTGGAGGGCTTTCTCAAGTCGATGCTGATCATCTGTTTCCTGATCCGACACCGAAGACAGTCCTCGAATATTTGGTCGTTCAAGCGCTTCGCCATATTAATTCGGAGATTCGATTGGCTTTCTTTGCCGAGACCCTCTCGTCCTTTAGGGCTTCAAAGACTGCTGGCGATCTATTAGCCTTACTGAAAGCCATTTGCGCAAACATGTCGAAATTAACAATTGTTCTCGATCTTTCAATATTTCCACCTCGACTACATGAAGGCATGGACGCAGCAAGTTGGCCAACCGAGTTGTCTCGCCTCATCAAAGGCCTATGGGATTGCTCCTACCCAGTGTTCTGTCACGTTTTGCTGCTTGGTTCTGTGCGCCCAACAGCGGAGATTGTCAGTAAGGGCGCCGTTATATCTGTGGGAATCTCAGCCATGGATTTCGGGACGTCTCGACGTCGGTTTCCCTTTCACCCTCCCAGACCTATACCCAAAGCTCATGAGGCTCCCAAACCGGCCAGGAGTCTGGACTCTGGCAGCCTAAAGGCAACACTATCTCAGTCAGTAATGATGGAATTGGATTTCGAGGCGACGCGATTTATGCTGACGGACCTGTCCCCATAGCGAGGAACCAAAGCCAGTGGCAGTCTCACAAGTTGACCCACAACCGACTTCGAACCGAGATCCTATGGTCCATAACCTCAATGTTCCTCATCCGAGTCCAGACTATGCATCTGCTGCGGTATCTCAGACAACATATTCGCGGGAACACGTTCGAGTGGCTATATGTTGTGCGTTACCATTGGAAGCCGATGCTGTTCAAGCGGTCTTTGATACATGCTTGGACGATGACGACCTCGATCAAGAGAAGATGAGATCTTCGAGCGACACCAACTCTTATACCTTCGGTATCATCGGTCGATACTTTACCGTCTTAGTTCACATGCCGGGAATGGGAAGGACAAACGGTGCAATTGTCGCCACAAAGTGTCAAGCCAGCTTTCCGAATATCAAACTTGCGCTCGTGGTCGGCATTTGCGGGGGGGTACCTTTCTATGGCACAGAGAAGAAGGAGATCATTCTTGGAGATGTCGTTATCAGCGAGGGTCTATATGGTTACGACATTGGCAGGAGATTCCCAGACGAATTCGTGGTGAAGAACTCCGCGGACGACGTATTTGCTAGACCATCGCCAGAAGTCAGGTCGATCCTCAGCAAGCTCAAGTCTCGTCATAATCACCGCAAACTCCAATTAAGGACGTACGAGTATCTGCGAGAAATCCAGAGGGATCCGGAAAACCGGGCGCACTATCCTGGCGCGAAAGAAGATCAATTGTTCGCCGGCACATACGTTCATATGCATCGTAGCCCTGGAGAATGCAACAAGTGCTCAGATGCAAATACGATTGCTCCAAGGGTTTGCCTAGAAGCCCGTAGCTCGACTTGTGGCAAGCTTGCCTGCGACAACGCCATGCTGGTAAGTCGGTCAAGACTGAACGTCATTTTGGACCACCCGGCTGAGGCCCAGCCAATGATACACTTTGGAAAAGTTGCTTGTGGTGATCAGGTCATGAAGTCTGGTAATCATCGAGATGCCATTGGTCATGAATCAGGAGCCATCGCCTTTGAGATGGAAGGGGCGGGGATCTGGGACTCCTTTTCTTGTTTGGTCATCAAAGGAGTTTGCGATTATGCTGATAGTCACAAGCACAAGAAGTGGCAAAGCTATGCTGCTGCAACAGCAGCAGCCTGTGCAAAAGCATTTCTTCAGGAATGCTATATGTAAGCATCGACGAGCTTCGCCTTAGAATCCGTGCTTTGGGGCCTCATATTTGACCTAGCACTCGATAGGATGATGTTGAGTCTCAAAGATAGTATGCATTAATTTCCTCTATCAGATGCAGTGGAACTGCTGACACGTGGAATCTTCAATGTTGTATCTAACGCTCGCCCCGTGCTCGAAGAAGATCATCCTACGAGTGTCCTTCATGAACTTCTGTCATATACCTGTCGAAATTATTGGCTTCATTGATTACGAAGCAGATGTGCTCGTGGCCAAGGTTGCAAGGAATGCGAGTAGCTCGCTTTATATTGAGCCCTCAGCAAGGATCTGCATTTTCGTACCTCATACCTGCTCATTGCTGACTTACATCGGCCAGCCAGACATGATTTTGCTTCATTTCTGAGCCTCAGAGCCCGCGTGCTATGCCTATGCTACCTTCACACTTTGTTTATGATGATAAAAAGAATCGATGCTACTCCCACTACCGGCTCAAATCATGGAAAGCTCCTGATGTTGACTTTCTCTCCGAATGGACTGGTAGTGGGCCTTCTCATGGCTTGTTCAGCACACGTCTTCCTCTCCTGCAACAGCTGGCGATTCTTCGCGGGAGATTATAGGGACCAGGGAACTAGAGGACTTAAGGCAAAGCTCGGCTGCCTCAAGCCGTGTATTTTGTCGAACAATCAGAGCGTAACGGTTTCACTAACTCCAGGAATATCATTGATATTACTTGTGCCTGGTGGAAGATGAACCGAATAGTCGCTCGTTTTCCTGCCTGTTGACGAACGCTCCATGTAAGATGGGCTTCTGGGAAGCGAAGAATCTTGAGGAGTTGGCCGAATCCACCTAATCTTGCGGTGACCACGTGGCATCGAAGGTCGATATGGACTGCCATCGATCTCGGACAATTTCCGTTTCCTGCCAGACTGAGTCTGATAGCCATCTGTGGAGCAGTGAGACGACAGCTTATGACCTAGCTCAGCGAGTTGAGATGCTTGTCGAGCGTCGCCGCTAGTTGTCAGATCCTTGGAAATAGTGGAGTGTACTGGGAACCTTGAGCTGTTGTGTGTGAAAGTCGTATTATGCGGCTGATCTTTTCTCCCCGTTCTCGATTCATGAATTTCACGTGATTCCAATACTTGTTCCGCTGGTGAGTAGCGTCCAAAAACAAGTCAAAGTATGACCTACTAAAGTCCTTTCGTTCTTCAAAAAGTGCTGGGCGATCGAACCCTGCTTGCGCTGCAGTTGGAAACGGGGTTCGTCGTTCGGATCCTCGGAACGGTCCCTCGTCAAGAGCAAGCGCAAGCTTGAGCTGGGAATCTGCTATCGTTATGCGTCTGGTACATGACACCTTTGGCAACTCGGGACCTTACCCCCGTCGTTCATTGTCGTGATTTTCGCACTCGTCTTCTCGCAGACTGCCCTTTCGCAATCTGGCTTTCAGACAACGCGCTGTGTATTGGAAGTAAATCTTTCAGATGAAGCATGAACCTGGATCTGGGGTACTCACCAGGATGCTGCACGCGGGAACAGCTGAGACTGTATTGTATGATAAGAAACGAAGTGTTGTAAAGGATGAACCATCAGCCCTGCCTGCATAAGCGGAGACGCAGTCGCCCGCCCGGCTAAATTCCGGAGCAGGGGGCAAATCAGATTATCTGGAGTTAACTCCACCAGCGAGATGGCGGGGAAGTCGGCCGGGCCGGGGCCGAAGGCCGACGCCCGGCCCGAATCCCGCCTTTACGTAAGGGATCGGCCACGCCACTTTGTAGCCAGTCGCGCCCAGCGCTCGTAGCTAGATTAATCAAACTACTTCACGCACCACCTGTCCAACGACGTCCATCTATAGAATATTTTGACGAGAACGGTAGATCTTCGCTGCGGTGGCGGCAGCTTTCATGCGGAAAGTTCATTTGCATGAATATACATGTAAAAGCAACGATCCAATCACTAGACACTTGATGGTAATCAGATAGAATGAACTACAGCATACTTGGGAAATGTGTACACAACGCCTTTTGTCTTAGAACCCATGTTTTCAGTAATTGCAAACCAGTTAGTGCCAAATTTCCTTAATAGATCCTGAAACCTATCAAACTCGGGCACACTCCAGTAGGCGCTCACTCTAATGCTTTGACCACCCTCTATCTCTGATTGAAATCTCGATGTTGCCCGACCGAACCGGGCAAGTAGGACGGACTGCCGAGAGCGCTCGCCCCCGGTATAATCCCGTAAAATTGTAGTATGAGTCATGGCAGCTAGTTTGGCGGTAAACCTGGCTTTTACTTCGCGTGAAACGTTGAAGTGGATGGTTCGAGATTTTGTGATCGCACTGGGAGTCCCGCGCTTCCTCGTATCTTCCAAAACGTCTTCAAGCCTGTTTACTGCTTTTATTCTGTAAATTGAAGTTACGTGGTAGGATCTGGAGTTCTAACTTACTTGAGCTTCGCTGAGGAAACATGCGTTGGATGCGCCGGCGCTCTGCAACGTCTTGGGTCTCGGGCTGGTGTTCGACCTTAGTCTGGTCTTCGTCTATGTCACCAAGAGGGTGCGTAATCAACTCGATGGGAGCCATCGCAAGGAGCGAAAATATCACGCTAGTCGAAATGTACTCTGTTAGCGTTGTTGAGGTCAAAGAATTCCAGTAGCCAGCCACAGCCTGCCACGCGTTTGGGTTCTTGTTCAGGTTGCAAAGGTTGACAAGATTTTCATTGGTCCGGCAATAGTCCAATCGAACTGTGCCGAGACCGCATACGCCCGCAAGTTGAATTGAAGCCTTATGTCACGAACTGATTACCCAGTTCTGAAAAATGGACATAAAACTTGACTTTTGCGGTCCAACTCCGAGCATAAACCATCTTCTCCATCTTTCTGTTTTAATCGACCTCGGTTCTGTGTTACCTGATCATATGTTCCTTGCTTTTGTCCTTATGGACGATCAAAGGCTTCACAAATGCATGGCTATGATCAGAAATCGAATGCTCAACCAAACAGATAAACTTTTGAGAAAAGACGGATGGGAAAAAGTACAAAATCAATCATTGTCTCATGTGAATAGTCTGTCTCTGACCAGTGATAAGACCCATATTGTATGCCTTTGGCTCAATACTCGAGGAGTCTCATCAAATTCTCTTGCCATTCCCCCATATAGTTGTTTACCTACTATCCAAGGCTACTCGTTGATCTCAGCTGGCCGTATGGTGTCATTTTGGGTCGTCACAATCTTATGACCGTTTCCTCTCCGGGAATGTCACCACTGTTTGTGCTGCGCGTGGGACCCACAAAATCACTTGTGTGACCGCCAGATCCCTTGTCTATCGGCAGACTTCCTGAGTAAGGAGGCAAATAAGACGCACGAGGTTGCCTATTCCGCTCGGGACCATTGAGAATGCGTGTCCCGCCGATCCATTGATGATCTGACCTACGACGCGGTGCGAGATTAGAAAACCGATCTAGGTCTTGGTCATTTCCAGATCTCCTTCTTTTCCTGCCAGTATGACTTTGATTGCCATCTGTTGTGTTAATAGCCAGCCTTTGACCAAGTTCGGCTAACCGGGATGCCTGTCGCATACCGTCGCCAGCTGTGAGATCCCTCGAAATAGTGTGGTGTACTTCTGATCTTTCGGGATCACCTAAATGGTATTGCGCAGGGTAACCAGTTCTTTGTGTGGGATTGACGACGGAGCGAGGCGGATGGTTGTAAACGACTGGGTTGTTACAGAGGCGGCCGTTGCGAGAGCGGTCACAGAGGGCTGGTTTTTGATTCTCGCTTCGCCGGCCGTCTGGGTAGACGTCAGTGTAGACGTCTACAGTGCACATGGTGTCCGGTTGACACTTTAAGCTGTTCCTCCTAGGACACTAGATAATGTCCCACGAAAAGGAGACACATGTGAAATGCTGGGACCTATAAAAGTTTGAGTTGCAGCCAACAGCAAGTTCACGATATGGCTCCTACTTCAGTCCTTTTGTGCTTCAAGGTTCTCAGCCTTAGGGCGAGCGATAGCACAGTTTACTCTGGGCTTGAAAGAGGATGATGAGATTGTTACTTGGTCAAAGAGATTGTACCCAGAAGTCTTCCAGCATGTGATCATTCGAATTTCATTAAAATCCTTATAGTTGCTAAGCATACCTAGTTGTTAAGCGTGGCTGTGGCAGAAATTCGGTCATGTAGGTTGCAGTGAGCAATGCATCTTGGAAACACGGTGTCGTCCTGACAAGTGGTCAGCTGAGTCTGAGACTATGCTGGGGCGCAGGCGGCTAAATGGCGGCAAGTGCAACAAATCAGGTTTGAGCACGGAGCTGAGGGCAAGATGAGAATGCCTACGTAAAAGGCAGACGTCTTGTCAGGGAACTAAAGAAATGCAAGTGATTGTATTACGTAATAATCGACCTAATTGCGCGTAGGAAAGGCCTACGACAATTCTTTCAAGTCGTACTAAAACGCGACCTCACCTTGCCACAAGCACTGGCACGCTGGGTACGTTTAGTGTCTTTCTTCCCTTCTAACTTTCTCTTCGCAGTTTGCCGCCTGGAGGCGCACCTTGTTGACTGCCGTATGTCTCTCACGGGGAAATATTCGAGGGCTAGGATGGCCTGGGAGAGAAACCGCTATGGCCACCTATGGGGGTATATGAAGAGAGCGCGAATCGCCTCGATTACAGGGGGCAGGCATCTCCCTCTTCACACTACCACAACCCATTACACCAAGATGCCGAGGCAATACTACGTTTAGTGTCTTCAGGAGTCTTTCGCAATACCTGCTCAACTTTTCGCTTACCGACCTTGGGCTTGCATTATGTCCAGCGGCCAGCAACTTCGCCAGACTTGGATGCGACATCGCCATGAAGCGTCTGGCCCCTCGTTATGGAAGATCACGGGTTCTGCGCGGCGCGATACTGTATGCTACATTGTAGAAATTGAAGGTGACTGGGGATTTGTTGCTGTCGAAAAGGTGCCCAGCCAGCGGTTCGATTCTTGGTTTGCGTGAAATAGCTTAGAGTGATCTTGGATAGCGAATTCCCTATCTCAGCCAAGGTGCCCTCCTAGTGAACGTCCCACCCGTTGTGTCTTGCTCTAGTTATATGAGAAGAGGCCGGCTGAGTTATTGGTACTATGTTTGAGGCCGCATTAAGGAAATTGTCTCCGTCCAGGAGTTCGCAGCCCGTGATTCGTCCTCCATCTCTACGTCCTCGGCCCCTGTGTCCTCGGACTCGGTACGCAGTGAGGGCCCGCAAGTTGTCAGAGAAGTTTATCCCCAATTAAGTACACAATTGCGGGAGCAGAGACACCCGAGCGCTCGTCACGTCTGGGCAGTTCTCGGCTGCTTATCCCCACGAGCGTCGTCCTATGTCGACCTCCAGTCCCATCTTTCAAACGCAAAGGTTCTTGAAAGCTGTGGGATCGCATGATCCATCGCTTGACGTCACCTAGCTCGCGGACAAAGTGATGAATTGAGCTACGACATGAGACTTTGGGACCATCTTGAATATTTTTGATGTTTTCATTGTACTGCTCTCTTGGTGTGGAGCTAGACGGGACAAATGGGCTGCGATTGTCAGACGTCTCCCTTTTCTTGCCATCATAGCTCTAATGAATATTAATCGGGCAGTGGAATAATCTTTGACCCAATTGGGCTATTTGAAATGCCCGCCGTACACTGTTGCTGTTGCTAGTTGTAAGGTCTTTGGAAATGGTTGAGTGAACTGTGGGCCGCCGCGACTCGATCTTCTTGGTTCGGACATCCTTCTTGCCTTCTAACGTTTTCTTTCTGTTGGTCTCACAGGACCAGCTAGATGGTAGGGAATTGTAGGCAGCGAATATCGCATGTATTAACTGCGTATGGTGGTGATGTGTAGGAGAGGTTAACTGCGTTAGAGGCAGTGGCCGCGATCGCAGCGTTGATCGCGGAGGCCGGCACCTTACGTAATCGTTGAATACATAAGGGGCGCCCAGCTCGATTAACGCTGTGATGGGCGCGCGCTGCCGACACTTTCCCAACTTTCCGCCTGTAGGCGCACCTTTTAGACTGCCGTATGAAGGCCAGGCGTGGGCCTTCTCCATGTTCCTCTCGCAATTGGATTTACGCTCCGATACATAAGGGCAAGATTTGTACAAGCACTCATATACTGGTTTTGGACTTGCGTGGTCAGAAGCAGGGAGAGAAGTTCCTTTGAATGGCTTAGTTTCGTACCCTGATTGCCGCGGTGAGAAGTATGCTCACCTCCGCCGTAAAGCGTCTTGTTCCGGTTCATCTTCTGTTTAACTCGCTACGTTGTAGCTCAGTCGTGCCCGAGTCTCGTCGGGAAGAAAAAACCTACTCCTGATCGTGTTGGGACTAAAGGCCTACAAGCGGGTTTTCTGGCTTGGCTTTGAGGGCAGAGGGCATGAGCGACGGCGCAGATGCGCGACAAAAGTGCGGGAAGGACAAATCGGACCTCGGCATTTATTTTCGCAATTTCATTCGATGCAATTAAGCGCGAGATGCATCGAACCGTTTTATTGTTCAGGTAATGATGCAAGGGTGTAAAGTCCAAATGGAGTTAAAAGCGTAAAAAAACCTGCCTCCCCGTTCAACTGCATGTGCAGGGCCACTGAGGCAATCTGAGACTGCTAATGTATGTCGTCTTTCCTCGCAACCCCGGTGGCTAACCGAGATTCATTCAACGCTCCCCTCTTTCCCGCAGAATATCATCCGCTGTGAGACCCCGCCTCAGCTCATTCGAGTATTCATCAAACTTGCTAGCCTCGTCAATCGCACGAGAAATGTGCTCGTAGCCAAGAGGCTTGCGACGATAAGCAGCTAGTTGACGCGCTGTAGAAATTGCATTCCTGATCTCGCGACCATTCAAATTCGCTTTCGCCAGGTCATGAAGACGTTGCCGTATTTCCTCTGCATTAACCCCAAAGTCTAGTTGCAATCCGTTGTTAGACTTGGAATTACCCAAGGCAGCAGCCTTGCCTTTATCCAGTTTATCGATGCGGTCGATGAAATTCGACCAAATTTGGATACGTTGCTGCTCGTTCAAATTTTGATACCTGAGATTCAACTGGATGCGAGACTTGAATGCCTCATCAAACGTGCCCACTCGGTTACTGGTCAATATCAAGATACCTGTCAAGTTCGTGATATATCAGTGATATGTCAAGCTTGTAAACGTATCATTCACTTACCGTCATAGTACTCCAGAACTCTCAAGAAAACTGACCAATCAAGATTAGTAAATTGCCCTTGCGGCTTTGTGAACAGCAAATCTTGTCTTTATGGCAAAGTGAATTGCAGCAAGAGTAGACAATGTGCAAGTCTGCACTTACCTGATACAAGTGCATTTCTTTCGAGGCTTTGCAACGTACGCTCCTCTAAGAAGACGTCCGCCTCATCTAAGAGAACAACTGGCGATGTCAGTTTGCGGAAGACAAGCCTGGGATCGGAAAAGCTAACCACACCCCCAGGTCTTTCCAAGTACCAGAACAGTGTCCAAATACTGATAACGTTGAGTAAATCAATTAATTCATCTCGATTATCGTAACGCACCTGCTCTACCTCTTCTGCCTTGGTTCCGATGTCTCCACATGTGACTCGATATAATGGTTTCCTGGCGATTTCCGCCACACTATCGTTGTCAGTATCACAATGTTGCTGTTACGGGCTACACATTTTAAGTACCTTTCAGCCGTCAGCGTTTTCCCCGTACCGGGACCACTGCAAATCGTCAGGATCTCGAATGTTCTCATGAGTCTAAAGCGGATGGACGCACCCATGGAGTAAGATAAACAGGCCATTGCCCTTTCCACGAATGAGATCGGTGTTCTCCTCTGCTCTGAGCCGCGTAGTGACTACTGCCTGGACTAATTCTTTGGTGTCGGCATCAATGACCAAATGTTCGAATGCTTCATCATTCCATTTGACGTCATCAATAAGCCCAACATCCAACTCCACTGGAACAGAACGTCAGCTTCGAATTTATTCCTGCTTCATTCTGACGTACCCCATTCTTTTTTTTGCATGTTGAATCCCGGTATTGTCACCGGAAGGCACATAAGGAACCTATCACCAAGACCAGGATTATCCTTGCGCATGATCTCAAGCCCAAGATCATCATCATCGACCGATTGTCCGCCAGGATGCATTTGCTTGTATGTGCGGTAATCTACCATGAACCGTGAATCTGCCTGTGCGTTGGTTGTAAATTAGCATAACGAAGTTACAGTAAGGCTGAAGTATAGGTAATACTGCACCGAATTCTGCAAGCCGTCACCTGAGAAGCCCCGAGAGGTCACATAGTTCCGATACCGGCACTTCCAAAACATTCTCCCGCGTTGTTGTAGTGCCTGAATGGTCTCTGCACTTGCGTACCTGATCGGGTAAACGGAGAGAAGGTCTGTAATTAAGAACGACCCATCTTGACTGCACTTCGGAAGCCCAGTGATGCTAATTATTTTCACTGTTCGGTGAAAGCTGCCTCTAAATCCCCATGCGCTCACCTGAATGATCGCCCGGAAGTCTTTTTCAGAGGCAGTCAAAGTCTGAAGCCAATTGGTTGCAAGAACGCCTCTTATCTGGCCTTGCTTAGGACTATCTGCCTTCTCGATCAAAATTTCGTTAGGAACCTAGATAGTTTAGCATGAAAGTGGGGAGATGCTCGGACAGGTAACTGCTTACAAAGAGATATGGCATATACTCAGCCGTTATTCTGCCTTTATCCAGAAGGGATTGTGCCATGCTCCAATCTCCATCTAAACGGCCGAGTACGTACTGCTGAAACACTGCTAAGTGCTTTGATTCTGTCTGATGAAGACTTTCGATGAAAGACTTGATCTCATATCGTCGATGGAACCACCATACATATGGATAAGAGATCTTTTCGTCTGTTCGTCTGCTGAATTCGGGGTGCGGAATCCCTTCCATAGTGACCTTTGCCATCTTCTTGAGATGTTCTGAAAGCTCTTCTGAGACTAAAGAAATGTACTCAGCCTTTAGAAAGTTTGCCGTATTGGAGTCAAGATAGCTTGTCACGCGACCATGATAGTTGAAATCTTTGGGCGGCGGACCATTGCAGCATTCGAAATCACGATAAACAATGAACGTGATCTCCTTGTTTCTTTCTAGGTGCAACTCGAGATGAGGAACGGCTTGACTTCCTCTGAGGTGAGCATTGAACCGGCCGCTCTCCACTACCCAAGGCTCGTCGAGGTAGAGATTCTCTGATTTGTTCTCGTGGCAATATATTTTGTTGATTGTCTCGCATTTAGGTGGGCCCTGTTGCTGCAAAACCCTGTATCTCAGTTTCTCTGCCTCCCTCAGTGAGTATGAGGCGGATTCCATGGCTTCCAGGAGTTGGTCATCCTGCATTTCTGGAGAAACATCCAACAGGCGGCACATCTCGCGGCGCCAATCGATGGTGGTATGAGGACGAAACCTAGGACGCCGCTTAGAAGATTCTGAATCTGTTCATTCTGGTCAGTCGAATTATGCATCTAGGTTGTCGATGATCTCAATCATTGACCTGTGCCTTGGCCGTCGGGACTCGGTCCGCGACTAGACGGCGAGGAGGAACGCGGCGGGGCTGAGCGCATGAATCCTCCTCGACGAGTCTGACCTGCCGGACTCCGTTTATCATGGTGCGGCGATTCGTCATGGCTCGATGAATGCGAGACTCGGGGTCTCTTTCGGGACTTGTCTTTGGCCGGCATACTCAGCGCCGGGGTTGTAGATGAACAAAACAATGTCAACAGATGACGTGCGACTGTGCCGCCTGATGGCTCCGTTTTGGCGAAAGCGGCTGATGAGGTGATTGTGTGTCTTGGATAAAACTGCATTTCCAAGCCTGCTCTGGTGGCCCCCGATAGGACAGCTTACCGAGACCCTCCATTGTGCCGCATTACTGCATCAATGCCTGCCATCGAGCAGTGAACCAATGAAATCGTCAAATTGAGGTCAGAATCTCATTCGCTGAAGCTGCACAAGAGTATGTATAAGGTCCTGTTGAACCAGATGCTGGCACATACATGTTTGATATGACCTCATTCCCGAGGTTTGTACGATTAGGTCTGATTATTGAGGCGGATAAATATAGATAATTGGCCAACAAGAATGCATGTGGTGTTGCAAAAGTGTAACCACAATTGCTAAGCAGCAATTGCGCCTTATATCCTTCGCAACATGTGGCTTTTTAATCATTTTGCATATCATCTTTACTAGTGGTCTTTTAGTTATTCCTGTTATATGCCCAATAATTCCTCCTCTCATCCTCTTTATCATCCTTTTGGCTACACCGACACACACCAAGGAACGAGGATAGCAAAGTTCTTTCATACACACAGGCTAAGCATTAAAACATCATAAATGCAATGGTATCTTAAGCTTATGTATTGGTTTCGATTCTTGGAACACGTTCTAGTTCATGGAGTTGCGAAACTTGGCAAATGCAATTGACCGCGGGTGTATTTGCAGCCTATCTTCTCATTTCTACAACATCACCGGGCTTGAAATTTATGGGGTTGACGCTCCATGTAAACCTGACATTCAGCCTTGCTATCCTGCCGAGCGTCGGACAAAGTGACGGTGAAATTGAATAGAATTGCATCCAGCTAGAACCCGCGGTGTAGAAATCTTGATCCCAGTTTCTTTTTACCCTCTACAAGCGCTCGTTTCAAAATGGCTCGCAATCTGTGCAAGGGCCTTGAAAGTTGGCAACAGCGCCAAGGCAGGTAAGGTCGGCCACCGAGTCTAGAGTTTGTCAGCTTCCAGTCCAATAGCGGAAGAATGGCGGCTTACTCAGGAACAACTCATCAACAGCCGCTGCGCAGGTTGGGATAACAGCAGCGAAAGCTCCGATGCACGCTATAAGAGAGTTGGTAAACGTCATTATATTATCACAAAATGGGGGAGCCAAGACTTACACCAGACATCGCAGCCTCTAGCCTCATGGCCTCGCAGTTTGGTGATGGCGTTGTTGCAGGCACCAAGATCGTTGGAAGTCTCGCACTAGTACTGCTTCTGTCTCTTGGCAAGACTGGCCTCGATGTCTCCCGCAGAAGGTGCGGCGGCCACTAAGGGCACAGCGAAGGCCTAGAGAGCCACGGCTTTGAAGTTGATCTGCATGTTGATGGCGAAAGAAAAGGGGTTTTAGATGAAGTTTTCAATTCAGTAAGACCACAATGTTTTGATGCAACAAACTGGTTGACTTGCCATGAAGACTTCCAGAGTATTAATAGTTGTCCAGGTCAGAGCAAAGACTTGATCTCCGGAAGCGGACTCTTCGGACGAGAAAGCCTCTGATTTGGATTACAAAACTCGGCACCTTGGCATAATTTTAGAATGAGGCCGATGAGCTCGTGTTCAGCCGACTGATCGCCAATAGCAGTCTGCTACTCATGCCCGGGCAAGAACTATGGATTGGAATGAAGTCTGATTGGTCTCTGAACTAGACCATTTTTGATGCAATGGTTCACGGAACCAAAACTTTCTTAAATTCCCAGCGCTTTTGCAAACTTTCGGTGGTATCCGTTTCGACTTCGCTTGATAGATATTACACCGCCTTTTAACCGTATCTCGGTTTGGCGTCTAATCTGACTGTTGATCGGCGCTCCTGGCAAGGTCTCCGTATTTCTTTATCGTCTTTCCAAGGGACGTGTTGAACATGGTGGGATGCCGTGAATGGAAACTAGTTCAACTATAATTAATCAAGACTGCACGGACGTTACCCAAAGAATTACCCAAAGTAATTCAACGAATCAGGCTTTCTATCTCTCTTCTACGAAACCTGGAAACTCTAGAAAGTCTTCAACTTGCCTACTGTTAGATTCAATGCTGCCGATGCACGAATGAGTCCGCCTTTGAGACTCAAACATGGCAGCAATGACTTGGCGTCAGGGGCGTCTCGGCCTTTCTCTCAGAATACTATTTGCACTCGGAATTCTCGGAGGCGACGAGTGAATTTTCTGAGTCATGAGTTCCCAGTCCAAGCCTCGAGCAACGTCTACGCATGTCTGGGTAGGAACGGAAAGATGGCGTGAAGACAGAATATCTGCGGAACCATTTTTCTTTGAAGTGTACATAAAGGGTTCCCTCTCACCGATTTCATGACCAGATCTTCTCAACCCCTCAAAGCCTTTAACTCATTCACTACCACTCACATCTCTCCATCTCAAGTTCAACTCCAAATTGAGGCTCAACATTGTCAGCCTCGCTGCCGCGGCATGGTGAGCGTGCACGCCGCAACAGAGATAATAAGATATGCTGACCCATTCCAAGGATGCCACTTGCAGCATGCCAGTTTTCTTGCCACTGCCAGATCGCCAACAACGGCAATGCCGTCATCGCTGCTATTCGACTTTGCGATCAGGTCGGCGGAACAATCTGCTACAATTCTGCTGGCAATTACAATGTTGTAAGTATCATCCTGCCAATGTGCCAACTTTGTCACCTTGGCTTTGCATACATGAATGCGTCAGTGCTGAGATATGTCTTTGAACAGTGCAAGACTAGTACGGCATGGACCGACGAGCAGTGCAAGAACACATTCCAGGGTATTGACCAGCCCAATGAGAGATTCAGGGCTGTTTGCACTGCGTAAAACGGCGGAGGGTGCCCTGCGTAGTTGATCGTGCTGCGTGATAGTTGGTCTACGGACTCAAAACCGACGACTTGTCACTAGGCTGTTGCGTTAAAGCAAGAAATCTCAACTGAGGAATAAATTTTTGTGCTTAGAAGGCTCGATTACATGCTCGGCCCGTTGCTCTCATCCTGGATTATGCATGTATGGCGCTTGCAGATCGAAATGATGCCACAGAACAAGTTGAACCTTCCGATAGATGAATCACATATAATTCAGACGATGTTTATGAATAGTGTGATAAAGTCATGTAGCTATTCCAATAATACCATTGCTTCAGCATTCAACAACTCTAGTGTTCTCCCCAAACCTTGTCCCATGTTCTCAGGATCACATTCTTCTTCATCAGTTCTTCATTACGATGCTCCCCCTGCAGATCTTCTTCCCAGAGGCGACACTCATCATCAACCGCTTGCTTTCGTCCGTTCGCATAAATGTCAACGGATACGGTATCAACAAAGCTTGTGCGCTTGTATATCTTCCAAAACACAAACATGCCAACAAACCAGCCGAGACCGAAATAACTTGTGATGAACCCTTTCGTAGACCACGGAGAAAATATGTCGAATCCAATGAACAATGAGATAGTTGACCCCAGTACCATGCACAGATAGGGAGTCCAGGAAGCACCAGGTGCAATGTAGGGGAAGATAACTGTTCCCGTCTCCGTGACAGATCCGGCGCTGTCATCTCTGTCAAGCAGTGAGGCCAGCCAGCTCTTCTTGCGTGTACTGAGTTGGCGAATTCCCTGGGCTTTCAAAGCGCGGCGCCAACCAACAAAGACCCAGGACATGCAGGTGAAATTGACGACCAGCGAGACGGTTGTCAACTCCAAGAACCAAGAGAATACCTCACTTGCTTCGTTCGACGCAACCAAAAATGACAGATGAGAGATGAGAGTGACTGCTGTCACACAGACCCATGGGACCCCGCTCTTGGTGCATCTCAGAAAGATCTTGGGTGCTTGTCCATCTTGAGCAAGAGAATAGAGGGTGCGGCTGGATGAGTAGAGAAAAGCGTTTCCGCAGGACCAACCTGAAAGTAAGATGAGAAAGTTGATGAGTCCTGGCAGAAACCCCGAGATGCCATGGCTGAGGAGTCCCAAAACCCATGGCGACGCAGCGGCTCCAGCATCGCCGGAATCGATCGCGCCCAGAAGGCGTTCATCGCGCGAATTGCATATTATGCCAACCGCGAGGATACCAAAAATGTAGAAAAACAGGATACGATTGATGATCATCTTGGAGACTCGTGGGATGGTCTTTCGTGGGTTCTGAATTTCTCCAGCTGCGAGAGATATAGTATCTGGTCCACCAATTGTGAAAGCAGCGTAGCGTACTGATATGCAGACGCTGAGGAAAACACCAGTGGCTCCATCTGCATAGTAAGAGTGCACGAAGTTTCCATTGGACCAGTTTCGAAAGCCGTAGGCATCGTAGTTCGGATTCCCGCCCACCATAGTAATGAATGTCGCCATCATAAGGCCGAGAAGCAGGAGGACCTTAGTCGAGCCCATGACAAACTCACTTTCGCCGAACCATCTGTTAGGCTAATTAGAAAATAGAGTTTCTCGTGTCAGAATTTCACCAGCCTTCACTTACTTGACAGCTGCCATGTTGAGGGAGTAGCATACTGCCAGAACCATGGCAATCCACACTGCTGGGTTGACGTCGACGTTCCAATAACCCATGACCGTGGCGACCGCTGAATATTCCGTGCAAACAAGCATAGCGCCAGCGAAGAAATAGGTCCATCCCATGGCGAAGCCGAGTGCGGGATCCACGAAACGAGCAGCAAGCTCGTAGATTGAGCCTCTGATCGGCAGCCAAGCCACCATCTCAGCAACGTTCAGGGTGGTGGGCCATATGAACCCCACGCCGTAGATGATGTACCCGATGATGAGAGGCAGAGGTCCCGCCTTGGACAGGACGCCGCCCACGCCCACGAAGAGGCCGACGCCAATGCCGCCGGCAATTGTCATGAGCTGAACATGGCGTGGAGAAAGACCCCGTTGTGTTTGAGGAATCGTGGCCTCGGATGCGTCGCCCAAGCGGGCAGATGAGCTGTCATCTGCGATGGTATCTTTCACTGCCGGTTCTGACATTGCGGCTGATGGATTTGGCGAGGAGGCCCACCAGCATATGTTTAAAAAATGAAACGGCCGAAATGTAATGAAGTCGGGTGCTTGAGAAGAAATTTCAATTGCACGCAATGTAACTCTGAGATTCTAAGTAAACCTTGCTGCGATGGCGACAAAGATCAACTTATGAGAGAATCAGGCCCTTGAAGAAGTACCGGTCGTTTCCACAATCAGAATCTGTGATGCCGTTCATCGGATGAGCTTTCCTATCTCAATTGGTGACCCATAACAGCACCAACCGAGCTATGCATAACAGCTGGGATAACATATCAACTGGTATCATCATGGCAATTTTATCTAGCGTGGCTTCGCTGGATTGCGATAACACAGTACCAAAACTTAGGGGTCCCTTGGCATCTGGAGTGGAGACATCTTGGAAGTTGACCAGTTGGACGTTGGATGCTGACGACCCCTGAAGATTAGATCGTATTCGACTTCCTAGTTGGGACAGCCGATAAACCACGGCTCAGATCGTATTCGTCCACCTCTTTTGGAAAGTGACATCACTTGGCACAAGCTCGGAGTATGAATGGCGGTGGCTTTGAGAGTGTTGAGTCTGCCATGATTGCAAGAACAAGTGACGGTAGTTGAATTGGGTTGGACAGTTTACTAAGGCGGGGAAATGGGACATGCAAGTTGAAAGATAAGCTAGGGTGGTGCTTAAGGTCGTTAAGAGTAACAAAAAGATGCGCCGGCAATACATTCTATAGAACTTACATTGCTACCTGCTTGACTTTGAACAAAATCTTGTTTCCTTATTTCCTGTGTCGAAAGTCGCCGCTAGGTTAGTCAAAAACATCTATGGTGCGAGAGTCGAAGGATCGGCTCTTGGCTGTCGCGAAGGGCTTTCAACTACTGGGCTCAGTGCCGGAAGACTTCATTGAGAGACTGAGAGTGTGCCTTCATGCTGACCCTTTACTTCCTAGACCTAACCCATCGATCTAGCTCTGGCAAGAACCCCTTCATCCCACCTTAGCAACCATTCGGTCCCCCAATCTCCCTCGCTACACCGACTTTGTTGGCATAGGCTCGGAGATAGCTGGACGCCGTGTCACAAAGAGCCTATTTGAGAATATAAAACTAGGCTCCAGCGATAGTCTAAGCGGAGTTGTCGTTCTAGAGGCCCACAATCTTTGCAGCGGTGCCATGGGAGCTCGTCAGTCCCGTCGGTCACACATTCACGAGTCTGATAGAACGCTTTGGCAAACAACTGCGATAGAATAGCTTGATTTAGTCTAATGAAAATTAAAGGCGTGATTAATATGAGAAAGGATCTGGGCCAGTATCCCAATCTCCTGTGTATCAAAACGAACACTTCAGCTATTGCTATTTCCGAGTCTCCCTCTCCTGATAAAGGGGCAGGCAACTCGACATATCAGTACGAAATAACTACCCCTTGAGATGTTACGCACGAAACAGATCATTCACTGCACCAACGCCAACGACTCGCGTGTTTTTCAGCCTCTTAGGGGGAAAATGTACCCGTACAGAGGCACAATGCCAGTCCAGAAAGCCAGCACCCATCTGGGGAACTTCGCAAACAGCTGCCTCGTGAAGCTTGCTTAATAACCCCACATGGGATTACAAAACAGGATTTTACGATGGCGGTCTGTACTACTTGTAACAGAACGGATTGACGGGAGACATTTGGGTGGGAGGGGAAGCTCAAGCATCTTCGGCACCGTCTGGTCTGATAACACGTTAGTTGCCGGTCAGGCTATGGAGGACCTGATGAGGTTTCTGACAAAGGATTTTCTCAAGGGGCGGTCCGAAGGAGAAGAACCCGAGATTCGGGGGATGTGGACCGGGCTTCAATGCCATACATCGGATGGGCTGCGCTCGATCGGAAACATCCCTGAATCGGCTTCAGTCATGAGGTTAGCAATGCTGAGCGGATTCGACGCACTTTTTATTCAGTCTGCTAGTTTGAAGATAAGTCTTCGAAGCACTTAATAGGTTAATAGTGCAAAGGCTTTGGTAAAGGTTTCCCGCGAGTGCTAATATGTAGCGCAAAGTTTGCCCTTCCGAGCAGTCCAATGATATGAAAGCGAGATTTATTATATCGTCTTCGTATATGCCAGTTCTTCGATCAGACCAGTCATCAGTCGTAGCCCTCAAGCTGGTCTTCACTTGACTTTTGAGGTGAAAGTTTGTCAGAGACTCTGGAAGTTGCCCCTGTGGAATAGGATTGGATGTGACACTGGTCTTACCTACCTATCCCAGTGGAATTGGCAGACTAACAAATTGGAGATTTAGCATGCCCTCATATGAGAGTGATTTAAATAATGACAAGTATCAAGTGTCCGAATGCCTGAACGATACCTCCATAATCCATCTCCTATCAAAGTATTGCGTTTTGATGACTGGTCAGTTTCGGCTGGGCATCAGCTTCGTGATGGGCTGGGATTCACAAATTCCAATTCACATGCTCCAACCGGGTGCTTCCATCCAATGGACGGCGAAGCTCACATCCAACCTTGGCTTCTGGTGGTCAGACGCAGTGATGCCCAACGCAGTGGGGCCCGCGGTCGCATATTGCTGGCCGACATCCCCTCGCTGGATTCCGCCCTCCCGAGATGGTCAGGAGAATCAATTCGCGCAATCACGTCTACGCTTCTTGCCTTTTTACGAATCTATCATTCTGAGCATAATTTGATCAAATGCAATCAAACGCAACCAGTGACTCAATCATGCCAGGGGCAACCTCAATCAATGGTCACAAGCGGGCGCTACTCATCGGCTGTCCCGTTGATGCGCTCAAGGCGCCGGCCAGAGATCTGGAGACTATGAAAGCGATCCTCGACGATTACGGGTTTTCCTGCAAGCTGGCGCAAAATGCCACTAGAGCTCAAATCATAAATCACCTAGAGCGCTTGATCGCTAACACCAACACGAGCGACGCTATTGTGGTCTACTTTTCTGGTCATGGCGGCCTGGTAGAGGAGTCAGGAGAGGTTAATGCGAGCCCAGCAGTGCAGTTCCTCATTCCTTATGACTTTTCAGAAACCACTGAAGATGATTTCAGGGGCATCACAGACGTAGAGCTCTCGCGATACCTACGTCGACTCACCGATAAGACCGAGAATGTCACACTCATATTGGACTGCTGCCATGCGGCCCGAATGGCCCGACTCAAGGCCACCGTCAAGAGAGTTGACCCGCAGGTCTATGGTGTAGTGTTCTCGCACGTTCGCAAGATGATACAAAATGGCATGCTTGACAGAGGCGGCCACCACGAAAGAAATCCGCGACTACTTACAATCGCTGCATCAGCGCGAACTGAGAGTGCCTACGAACAATCCTTCGGGAGCGAGCAGCGAAGTGTCCTTACCGAAGCACTCGAGCGTGTGCTACGTCGGCGGGGTACAGATGGCACCCTCCCTATGATTTGTTGGCGCAGTGTTATGCGTCTCGTTCGAGACCGTATCAAGGCTACCTGCCCCCAACAATTTCCGCAAATTGAGGGGGAGGATACGCGGTTCACATTTAGTCTTGAGCGAGCAAGTATCGACGGTGCACTTCCACTATCGTACGATCAACAGAAGCGTCTTCTTGTTTTGCAAGGAGGGGAACTTCATGGAGTCCAAGTCGAAGACACGTATGCCGTCTTGCCGGCTCGTGAAGAGCGGTTTGACTCAAGCCGCCAGATCGCCGAGGTCAATGTCGACCTCGTTGGGCCTTTGATGTCGCACGTCAGTCTCAAAGATCTAGGCCATCTCAATCGTGTCGAGAGCCATGCTGGATCTGGCATGAGAGCCTTCCCAAGGAAGAAGATTGGTAGATTACCGGTGGCAGTTCGGTGCCAAATAATCTCGGAGCGATTGAATCGCCACATCGACAGGTCTCCGTTCCTCTGCAGAGCTGGGAACAATGAGACGTCCCCATTCGCCACGATCACGAGTAGACATTCGCAAATCGAGCTCTGGAGCCAGGAGTCAGGCGAGGTATTTCTCTTGGGCTGCTGGTCGGTCGCAGAGAACGAGCAAGTCGACGCTCGGTGCGTCTCCGAGGTTATTGGCAGATTGGAGTCCATGGCACGGTCAAGACATCTTCTCTCGCTCGCTCGGCAGGTCGAGCCGAACCTCCTGTCACGACAAGTCAGTGTGGAGGTCGGCCGAGTCCGAAATGGCCAACCGGACACGAGCGGTCAAGAAAGGGGCCTCTCTGTCACAGAGGGGGAGAGGATATTTATCAAGCTTCGCAACACTGGCCGATCCATGGTGCTTGTATCGATTTTCGAAATTTGTGCCGGATCCGTTATGATGCTGACTGCGGCAACACCAAATGGCCGAGAGCTCCTCCCTGAAGAAGAGTACACCTTTGGTGAACTGGACATGATATTTGGAACCCTTCAAGGGTCCGAGGTTGATTGGCCCGAAAGTGCGCCCAAGGTTCAAGGCTCTAGACTTCTTGAGAACATTGTTGTTGTGGTAACGCCCAGCCGCCTGGACATGGATCTTCGATGTCTCGAGACAGGCCCTGGTGCGGCCAAGGGTGACAGGGGTACTCAAGAGCTTGATGAGCCAAGTCTTTCTGATTTCATCAGCGAGTTCGGGTCGGAATCTACCAGCAGAATCAGGCCCGAAACCCAGACATTCATCAAATTTGGAATGCGTCTGTTTTCCTTTGAGCTGAACCAATACTGAGCCAGCCGTCTTCCTGGCATGATAGATGAGACTAGTCGCGATGACCTTAATCTGGCGACGGTGCTCGCCATGCGCCTCTGTAGTGGAACCTTCGTTATTACCTAGGTAGACAATACGAATGCCCATAGCTAGGCTGTTAGTGGCAGTGCATAAAGTACATTGGCATTCGTTTTCCAGGTCGTAATCCTTCCCAATATGCCGCCGACCCGCACCTGAATTGTTTCGCTCGCCAATCCCTTTGCTTTACAAAATTTGATCCACTGTTGTGGCAACATGGAGGCCTGCAGATGCAGCGCGACGTGGCAAGATGTGCTCAGCCCACCAGTCTATCCACGAACCACGAACACTTGCCACTGTGTCTTGCTATTAGTGCGTATTTGATGCGGTGGATCAAAACTCAAGTGAAGGATTTTTCGTTTGCTCATTAAAGTCGCTCTGTTGAGTATCAGCAATCTTCCGCTTCATCTGATCACACTTCGTCCCAGTGTTTGATACTCTTGCAGCCTTCGACATGGAAATACTAAAAGCTTCACCGGTGCCCCAGGAAAACATCTTTCCCCACACAACGGATCTACCCGTCGACGGCTGCGATCTTCCCGGCCCCGAGAACCAAGTTTCACAAGAAGACGCCTGGTGGGGTGACATCCCGGTTTCCGCCCCAGGGGGCCCGGTCCCCAAGGTAAGAGACTACACCATCTTCTTCCAGCTTATGCGTCATGCGAACTGGCGAACCGCTGACAAGGCATCCAGGGGTCTTTCGGAGCCTTATTGAGGAAACTCAAAGGAGTGCCGGCTTGTGTGTGGGTTGTAAACCAACACGACGAGGAGATCACCGTCGTGGTGTCCAAGCATCGCCCTTGCCGGATGCTCACGGGGTTCGAGGTCAATCTATCAACAACCGGTGGAGGGATTGGCTTGAGCCAAACAGTACGTTGTTTAACCTCTGTCTCACCTTCTCTTGAGTATTAGTATTGACAATCGGGCAAATAGACATATGTAGGCCCTGCTACGAAGAAGACTCTCCAACCCGAATCGAAAACCAAGTCGGAATCGAGAGCTACATTTCCTCTGTGGACAAGCAAAGACGGCTTCGCTGTGGTCACCGTATTCATAGGCGCAGAAAAGAGACTACATATCGAGAATGATAGAATATTGGCTGGCGCTACGGCATATGTTGGACATGGGCCGGATTTAAGGATTGAGCCATATGGGCAGGCGTCAGATTAGAAAAAGGGTCATTTACACTTGCATTTAGGACACATAACTAGCAACTTCGGAATTGTTTTCAAGGACCAAAGTGAACGTAAGGAATCCACAATGGCCCCGTGACTTTAGGCCTCCTGATATCCCGTGCAAGATCATTCCCATTCAACCTAACAAGTGGCTCCCGTCCCACGTCCTCTTCGAGCTGAGTAGTCGTCTCTGCTTCCACATTTGAGCGATTTATTTGGGACTTGTTGCGCATTAGATATCTATGAGCCCAGTCATCTCGAAGATGCCGAATCGTGTGATGAAGACTTTGGCACACAGAATCGTCAGTCATGCCCCTTTCCCACAAACCCTCGTAAGTCAATTTTGCTGCATCCACACATAAGGCGTCGTCAACTTCCCACAATGTCCCAATTACATGTCGGAAGCCAGCAAGCTGGAAGGCGCCAGCCAGGTGAATGCTTTCGTCGACAGACCTATCATCACGGATCTGACTCGTTCCACACGCCGACAAGTAGGCCAGAAATGGAAAATTTTCTTTGAGATTTATCTCCAAAAGATTTCCAGCTGTTAGGGGCTGGTTCTTCCAGTCTTCCAGTAGCAAGCAACTCTGTAGAGGGTCGATGGAGTGCGTCTCGCCGTGTCCAGCAAAGTGGAACACCTTGCAACCACTATTCAATGCGGCAAGTACATCTTTGTGTTTTCCAGCCGCGTGGGTGTAGCCGATTCCTCTGGACTGGCAGCCCAGTTTCACAGTATCAATTTCGCTTGTGGCGTGCTCCAATGGTGGTAAGCCTAGCGTGGCCGGCATGGAAACGAGAACGAATTCTGAGCTAGAGTTGCCTTCGCTCTTCTCTTGCTCTGTGGCCGCAATGTGATGGGCTGAGTTGTAGTTCATTGACTTCCTAGCATGGAGAATGGCCTGAACGGATGTACTATAGGATGATATCACCCTGTCAAGCGCTGTTTGTCCTTGACGATCAATGTGATGACCGGCAGCGTGGAGAGGAAAGCCAACCAGCGGGCCGGTCGGAATCCACCAAACATGCGGCCAAGATTTTCCCGCGTGCGGCGTGCTCGCAAAGCCCAAGTACTGGAGAACAGGTCCAACAATGACATCCCATAACCAGGTAAGATCGGAAGGGTGCCTGACTTTACGAGCCCTTGACTCAATGGTTTCGTAGGTAACGCTAGTTAATGGTAAAGTTCGTACGCCACATTGTTCGACAATAATAGCATCGCACCTGAATCGACTAACGTTGACAACAACAACGGGGCCTCTAGAACCCGCTTGAAGCATCTGATTCTCAGACATGGTGTCAAGAAACCCTTCAAAACCGGGCTGTTGCTGGATTTTCGACAACAGATTTTCCATCCGAGCAGTGGCAAGGTGACGACTGTCTGCTGCAATGAGAGACTTGTCGGAACCAGCATGGCTCGTGTTAGATACATCCATAAGATTACGAAGCTGATTGAAAGCCTGTGCCATTTTGGGATGTGAGCGGTGCAGCTCCGATGTATCTGTTCGGATCTTCTGGAGGGAGCTGGCGATGATGCCTCGGCCAGTCTCAAGCAACTTGAGGGCCTCGGCCGGGCCTTGGCCAGCCTCTGTTGCAATTGCAGCAGCATCTGAAGCTAGCCCGACTGCTTGAGTAAGGAGATACTGTTTATCTGCCGGGCGCAATGATAGCGGTGCTGACACTGGAACCAGTGAAATGGTTTGTTTTGCTATGTCGTAAGCTTCCTGTTTGTCGTTCAAGACATCTGGAGTCGAAAGGAATTGGCGACCAGCATCGATGCGCAAGCTGATCGGGGCTTGCTTGTGACCCACAGTTAACGCGAAGTTTTTCCTTGCATTTTGTAAGTCATCTGGCTCCCCGACTTTGGAGTATCTGTCCCAAAGCAAGCGCCCAAGATTGAATGTAGCCGCAGCTCGGTCAGGATGATCACCGGGGCAGACATCAACCGCTTTTTTGGCAGCCCTAATACCCACCTCGAGGTCGTCCAAATGTAGCATCTCAAAATGTCGATATTTGAGACCGTAGAATTTTCCCTGGTTGTTCAGGTACTTGACCCGATCGGGGCGGCCTTCAGGCGTGACCTGCACAGCTTTGTTGATGTGACTGATTGCCATGTTGAGATCTTCGACCTGTCCGCGTTTCGGATGGGTTTCTCCGGAGTATCGATCGATCAGTCTGTTTCCAATGGTGCTCAAGATTGGTCCTTGATTGGGGTTATTTTGTGGAACCAGTGCTGCCAAAGCTTCTTGGGATACAATGATAGCTCTGTCAAGATCGACTATTCCCCTTTTGCGCTCATATCTATCACTCAGAGCATTTCCCAAGTTGTTTAAATAGTCTGCTCTGTCGGGATGGGTAGGAGGCACCGTTTTGACCGCCTCATCATGGAACTTGATAGCCTCTTCGAGATCATCTAGCGCCCCGGCATGAGAGTATCTGTCAGAAAGCCGGTTTCCAAGGTTGTTCAAATACTCCGCATGTCTAACAAAGTGGTCTTGCGTGCCCACTAGCGTGGCCTTCCTTGCGAATGCGATGGAGTCGTCCAAATGTGATAGTACATGAGAACGGGCATACTGGTCGCCCAGTAGACTTGCTAGCGCATTGAGACGAGTACCCTGAGCTGGGTGGCCTTCAGGCGTAGATTTAACGGCTTCTTTAGCAAGTCCAATAGCTTCTTTCAAGTCCTTTTCTTCTCCTGTTCGCTGATATCTATCGCCAAGTCGGATTGCTAGATTAAACAGCTGGTCGATGCGTTCCGGTGTCTTCGTGTCCGTAGAAGTAGCTTGTGTCGCCTTCCTTGCTAGCAGAATGGACTTGTCAAGATCTTCCATTTCGCCAGTCCTCAAGTATCTGTCTCTCAGACGGAGTCCCAAGTTGTTCATCCTGATTGATAGCCGAGGACCGTGTTGTGCAGTAACCTCCAAGGCCTCCTGGGCAAGTTGAGTAGACTCCGTCAAATCATCTTCGTCGCCAGTGTGAGTGAATCTGTCACCGATGCGATTGCTTAGATTGATGAGAAAATAACCGTGGTCTGGATGATCTGATGGTGCAACCTTCATGGTTTCTCTCGCATACTTGATGGCTTCGTCAAGATCCGCCTTCTGGCCATTTTCATAATATTGTCGTCCGAGGTTTAGGCTGAGGCCATTCAGGTAGTCTGGACGCATAGTATGTTTCTCGTGAGTTGCTTTGACAGCGTTTCGGCTCATCTGAATTGCTTCACGCAGGTCCGATGCGACTCGCTTCCCGATGACGGAGTAGTTCTCGCCTAGTCGGAGGCCCAAGTTATGGCAGCGTGCTGCCCAATGTGGGCTAGATTCCGAGGTCTTAGCAAGAGCTTCTCTTGTGAATTGAATACATCCGTGTAGATCATCGATAGTCCTGGTGTAGAAATATTTGTGGTCAAGATGATGACTAAGAGTATCCAGGAGTTCTGGACGCTGTTCGTGGTCTTGCGGTGTAATGTTGACAGCCTCCTTTGCCGCAAGAATAACAGTTTCCAGGTCAGATATCGCTCCACTGCGCGAGTACTTCTTATAAAGAAGGTCGTGAAGGACAATGATGCGGGAAATCCTGTCGTTGATGCGGATGTGTGGCCCCGCGAATGCATCTTGAGCTTCTCTGGCAAATCCAATGGCTTCGTCTAATCCACCTGCGTCCAGAGTCTGAGAGTAACGCTTTCCGAGTAAAGCTCCGAGATTGCTCAATACACTTAGTCGCTCTGGTACGTCTCGGGGAATGATCTCAAGGGCCTTCCTCGCCGCATGGATGGCCAACTCCAGGTCATCTAGCGAATTTGAGAACAGAAACTTCTCGCCAAAACGAAAGGTAAGGTTCCTCAGGAACGTAGCCTGGTCGAGACTGTCGTTTGAGGTTACCTCGAGACCCTTCATGGCGATATCAATTGCCTCGTTCAGGTACTCCCTTTTGAGAGTGCTTTTGTACCGGTCTTCTAGCAGGCTCCCAAGGAGGTCAAGACGGGTGGGAAACTCCAGGCTTCCGTGCGGAGTCAAAGACAGTACCTCTTGGGTTATTCGTGTTGCCTCATCTATGTCGTCATTCGAAGCTGTCAGCGAGTATCTAGCTCCGAGACGTACAGCTAGGTTAAACCGCCGATCAAGTCGGCTAGGATGGTCCGGAGGCACAGCTGCGGGAAATGCGTCAATGGCATCTTTGGCCAAGTTAATAGCCTCTTCCAAATATTGGGGCATGTCCTTGTAGATGTATGTAGAGTATAAAACGTGCCCAAGGTTGTTCAGCCTATTCGATCTCTCGCGGTGGTCGGCGGGTGTGGCTTCGACCGCCTCTCTGGCATAGCGGATCCCATGTTCCAAGTCTTTGGACTCGCCAGTATGTCGAAATCTTGCTGTAACTAGGAACGCAAGGTTACTTCGCCATCCAGCGCGTGTAGCTTCATTCTGTATGCCCGGGGAAGCTTCTATAGCCTGGTCCGCGGCCTGAATCGCTTCCTGTAAGTCCGACAACCGGCCCAAGCGCTTGTATCTTGTATGAATCCGATGTGAGAATTCACTAAGTCGGCTGGCCTTGTATTCGTCATCTTCCGGCGTTAAATCTGCAGCTTTCCGGGCAGCCTGGATGCTTTTGTCCAGATCCATGATTTCGTGAGTTTCGTGATACTTCTCCAGCCAGAGGGAGTGCAAAGTGGCGAGGAAGTCTGCCTGGTTCATGATCAGGCCCTTGTCCGCCGTGACCTTCACCACAGCCTCAGAGACCCCGATAGCTTCCTCAAGATATTGCATGGACTTGGTCTGGCTCCATGCCCAGTCGAGCAGACCTCCGAACTCTGCCAGAGTCCTCCATCGATCTTCGTCGTCTTCAGACACTCCCTCCAGCGCCTGTCTTGCGCGATCCACAACGTCGTCAATTCTCTCCATCGACAAGATACTTTTGGTTCCAGGAGCACTTGGCTCTGTGATACAAGACGAATTGGTCACGATTTAGCTTCAATAGTGCCAACAGAATTCAGGCGTGAGATATCGTGTGATGTGACACAGGAGCCTTGCGGCTCACTTCCATTGCTTATCCACCCCATATTTCCCTCAATTGCCCGCAGAGCCACTCGTCACCTTCTTTCCAACGGAAGCGCCAGCCAATCTCCATGCAATTCGCGGGAATGCATCGGAACAAGTGAGAAGGCTATGTACCCAATCACAATGCTTGAAATACCCCTGCATGTGCATCCTCAGAACCAGGCCTGATTTGTTTGACGGGCAAGCTTATTCTATCTGGTGCACTGGTACTGATGGAGATGTGACAGGCTGTAAGAAAGAGCTCCTAGGCTATCAGAGACAGTAAAGTGGACGATGGAGACGCGCATTAGGACGAAGATGGAGACGGCTGCCACAACGTGCACACAGCGATATCCACTGGCGGATCGTCTCAACTGTGGACACAATTGAGGGAATGTTTCCATAGGACTAATTCAAAATCAAATGTAAAGACATCTTTTTGGCGAAACAAAGATGACTTTTGTTGGATTACCAAAGTCCGCCTCCTACATCTCCAACTCCGCCTTCCCGGGGGGATAAATCTAGCGGAGCGCCGCTTGCATTTGTAATCGTCCTTCAGACTAACTGAATAGTCATTTTCCGCATAACGTTATGCGACTAATTTACAGAGCTAAGGCCACCATAGACTTCATGATCTAATAGGTTGACATTAACGACAGAATCTTTTCAGGTACTGATGAGGATAAAACCAGGCACACTGCACGACTTGCTTGACACAACAGCCCGCCCAACCGAGCTTACACCAGTCGTGTACTAACCACACTCTTCCTTCTTCTAAATTATTTCAAATCATGGAACCGACAATTCTTGTCGCTGGCGCCACTGGCAATACTGGCCGCGGTGTCGTCGAGACCTTGTCAGAAATTCTCAAGACCAACACCACCTTCTCCGGTCACAGAGTTCTTGCTCTCACTCGATCGTTTAGCGGAACTGTCGCGCAGAAGTTCACACAGCTGCCGAATGTCGAAGTACTTGAAAAGAACTGGGTGGACATCACCGCGGATTGGCTGCGCCAGCAAAACATTGTGAGGGCCTTCATTGCCGCCCACAACGAACCCACCCAATTCTCCGAAGAGTCAACCTTCCACGTCGCTGCTCTCAACGCCGGTGTGGAATACGTGGTACGAATCTCGACAACTGCTGCAAACGTACGGCCGGACTGCCCTGCGTACTACCCAAGAAGCCATTGGGCAATCGAATCCATGCTGAGCTCGCCGGAGTTTCAACGTCTTCGATGGACCTCGCTGCAACCCAACATCTTCTCGCCTCTCTACCTTTACCCCGCGGCGGAGCTGGTCAACTCATTCCGCAAGACGGGGAAGCAGCATACGCTGAAGTTGATAGCTTCTGAAGACGCTCCGGTCGGGATCATTGACCCCTTCGAAGTTGGGTGTCTGGCGGCTCACCTTCTAACTGCCGAGGATGTGAAGCCGCACGACAGGGCCAAATACATTCTGAACGGGCCTGAAGATGTCACCGGGCGTCAGATTATTGAGATGGTTGAGCAGTCACTTGGAACGAAGGTTGAGAATGTCCAGTTCAAGGACGTGTCCTTTGTGGAAGGCATGGCGGCTCAATCTCAATATTCAAAGAGCGTCGTTCAGTCGATCAAGTACGCTTTGGAGACGGCTTGGGAAGGAAAATGCAGCACGTCCACCACAAGCCGAGAAATATTCAACATCTTTACTCCGAAGGTTACGCCGGCCGAGTCTTTCAAGAGACTGCTGGGGGAGTAGGAGGATTTATTGCCGCTATGGCAACTTTGATGTCTCCTCAGTCTTCAAAAGAAGTTGAGTTTTACTCCTCTCCTTCTTGCAGGCTGTAAGATGATTAGTTTGCCTAAGCCGCAAGTAGGCTGTGCAGGAGAGTAGAGTAGCCGGAGAGACGTTAACCAGGAAGCAACGTAGAACCAACCTGCGATAGATAGTCGGGCTTGAAAGTTGTCGTGGTAGTATGTAGGACTTGTTTGTACCGGAAAATCAAAGGATCATTACTTGCATTGGCATTCACCCTTCTTGACTGGCCAAGTTCTCAACTAACGTTTCACCGCCTCCTCATTCTGACAGAGCTGGTGAGCTGTTGAAAGCAATTGTTGCAATAAAACGGTTGAATCTTAAGCTTTAGCCCCTGCATAATCAACTTTCTTTTTCTTCTTGATTAAGGGGTGTGACTTCCAACCACCTACTCATGAACCAACGACTGCTTGTTTTGCCAAGCTAGTCGTCTTGGCGGCCCCCAAAGCTGAAATGCAAAAGCCGTCATCTTCTCGGTTGATTTGGCCCGAGGCAGTGCAGGTCACGACCAAGGTCCCTTTGGCCAGCGACAAGCATTTGGCGGCATATCCGGGATACCACCGACCGGAGGGAGCGTCTGCCTTGGAGAATTTACGAAAGTCCAAATTCATGAATTACCCCTGAATCGATCGTTCGCTTAAATTCTGGAGATCGATATCATCACGTTCTTTGATCCCATTGTTTGCTGCGGGACACCCCTGCACATGCATCCTGCGGCGGATTCGCTTACCAGGAGTTTATCAACTTGTTTCTTGCTTCTTCCTTCTAGGCAGAGAAAGCTAGCAAAGATGCGTGTGGAGCCCACACCTTCAATCTGACCGAAGTTCGCACTTTCTGCCTCTCAACCGACGATTTAAGCGTTCTCGTGGCAATGATGAGACGCGCGTGATTGGCCAGCATACGGTGCCTTGCGAGAGTCGGTTACTATGGAGGGGCTGCGCCAGTCCCGAGTGGCGGCCAGCGGGCGTTCAATATCGGGATGGGAATATATAAGTTGAAACCTCGTCCTCATGCCAGTCATTCGATCTCATGGGACCAGTCCAGCTGCATTTTTCCATCCTTCCCCAAACTCGTCAGAAATGCGGTCTCTTTTCATTGCTACCTTCGCCACTTTGGCCGCTGCGCAAAGCACTCCGTGGCCTTCCTTCGGCAACTGGACTGAAGCCGCTGGTGGTTACGACTTCACTTTGTCTGGTCCCGCAAAGCTTGGCACCAAGGCCGAGTTCGAGCTGGACAGATGTCACTATGTCTGGAACCTACTCAACGAGCGCACAAACTGCGACGAAGGGGCCCCAAGTGATGCCACCGAATGCATGGACCAGCTCTTCCAGCGCAAGACCGAAATCGGCGACCAAGGATTCCTCGACATGTTCGAGAGGGAGATCATCGAAGCCAGGCAGTTCTGGTACGAGGTGAACGACAAGTCTGAGCTGGACAAGCCAGAGACCTGGAAGGCCGTCGAAGCGCGCGCAGTCGTGGCTTTGCCCAACGTCACTGCCTGGGCTTTCTCGGCGTGGTCGTCATCGCCCAGAGCCGACGCGGCCAACAACAGGGAGAATGCGGAGCACTACTTCAAGCACTCGGACTTCACCACGGGCAGCGGTGTCTCGCGCATTCTAGAGGGATGGGGCGGCACGATCACCAACTTTACGATTCCCAACTACAGCGCTGCGCTGTGTGCGGAGAGGGCCATGGTCCGGCCGCTGCCGGAATTTTTGATCAAGGCCTGCGGCGACAAGAACCTGGTTGACGGCAAGGATACAAACTTTGGCGTGCTCAACATCGCGGCGCGCGATGTTGACGGTGCGTCGTTTGGGCAGCCTGGAAAGAGGGGCATCGACATTTACGCATCCATTTGGTATGGCGGCGCTATCTCCGAGGAGCACCTCGAGGCGGAGCGGCAGCATGTGATCATTGAGATTGTCAACATGAGCTTGAAGGCGCAACAGGATATCGAGACTGGCACGTTCACGGTTCCTGCGCCTCCGACATCGTAAGATACTGGACTGCACGAGACTTGATGTTGGAGTCGGGAGATGTCGACCTTTCAGTTTGCGAGTCGAACATCAGCCGTTCATCCGCGGAATCCACTTCTGCATGTACATAGCTTTGACTAGACGGCCTTTTTGTGTAGATAGGTCTTTTACGAGTGTACATAATAGGATTGTTTGCTTCAAAAACACAATACCCTTGTGGGGTCGGGATTTTGCCGCGGCACTTGGCCTCGGAGATGAAATCCTGCAGGAACGCCATTTGTTCTTTTACGTTCTTGGAGTTGACAATTTGGCTTGGATGTTTGAGTATCAGTTCTCATTCGTCAAGATGCGAAGGCGAGATGTCCAAATAAGGAAAGTTACCGGGGCGGTCGGGGTGTCTGCCCTGGGGCACTTATTCTTGGCATTATAACTTGGGCGGAGCATCTGGGATATCCACGCAAGCTGACGGTGATCGATCATGTCATCATCCAGGCATCAGTGGAAGTTTTATATCATAGTCGATTTGAGGCTCTCATCACTGATCAGCACTAGCCCTGAAAGGCTCATCTGTCGACTCTGTAGGCATCCAACACAGCACGTCCACCTGCAAGATTCACGATACTTCAACCTAGCGAGGCCTGAGCACCAGCAAACGCAGTCTCTTTCTCTTGGGCTCTCATTTAACGGAGCTAAGATTCTTAAAAGCCTCGCGTTTTCTTGGACTTTAAGTCCACGCCAACTTGGAAATAAGTGTATGTGCGACGTTGCTATGGGCCGGGATTAAACCCCGCACTAGCCTTGACTCCGTGTAAGTGACGGCGCTGGCCGGAACTATGTCCGCACGCAGGCTTTCGGCTTTTGCGCGGAATTACAACCTGCCAAAACAGGATGGAATTGAAGTCAATTATCTCATTGATTTGACTGTCCAAGTCAAATAGTCAATCGAGTGAGAATTCAATTATCATCAAAACATCGCCGCTCCTTGAACGTGCATAACTTCGTTATCAGAATAATTCGTCTCGTTTGAGACTCCAGATCCAACGAAGCTCAATCAAGACGAAATTTCAAGCGATCCCGGCCTTTTCAGGAAATGTCGACCAAATACAATAAGCTCGCTGGGAAGCATGTTCTGGTTATCGGAGGCTCAACCGGCATCGGCTTCGGCGTCGCAGAGGCAGTTCTCGCGGCCGGCGCCAGCGTGACCGTCTCCTCTTCTTCGGCCAGCAAGCTCTCCACCGCCGTGGCAAGTCTCCAAGCTACGATTCAATCTCCCTCGTCCACCCAGACAATCCAGAGTTTCCCGGCAGACCTCTCAGGGCCTGATGCCGAAGAAAGGCTGGAAGCTGTATTCAAACAAGCAGGGCCTGTAAACCATGTCGTTTTCACGGCAGCCAACTCGCTCTCCCTGATGATGCTACAAGATCTTACTCCCGACAAGATCCTGGCCGCTTGCCAGATGCGCCTCGTCGCTCCTCTGATGGCTATCAAAGTCGCGGCGCGGTACCTTCCGAAGAGCAACGAGTCTTCGTTCATTATTACCAGCGGTAGCGCGGCTCACAAGTCTACACCCGGGTGGTCTGTAGTGTCGTATTTTACAGCGGGCTTACAGGGGATGGTGAAGCAGCTGGCAGTGGAGTTGAAGCCTTTGAGGATCAATGCTGTTGCCCCGGGCCATGTTGATACTGAGCTATGGGATCACATGAGTGCGGAGGAGAAGCAGGCAATGGTCAAAGGCGTTGAAGGAACGGTGCCGACGGGTCAATTTGGGAGAGTTGAGGATGTCGTTGAGGCATATCTCTGGTTGCTGAAGGATCGAAATGCGACTGGTACCGTTGCTGCTACTGATGGTGGCTCTATGGTTGTCTAGGATACCGATCTTTCGACGCTATGACACCACCGAAAGTCTAAACTAGTTACTGGCATGCAGTTTGTCGTACCAACAATGTTTCCTTCAGATTGACAAATTGACAAAGACAAAACTGAGGAATTGAAGTGTTGAATTCGCGACGCTCTGACTGGCGGCCCCAGATGTCAAAGTGGATCCAGAGACAGTTGCCAGCGCACGGCCCCTAAGCCACTGGGTAGAGTCGGACCCCGGAACAGAGATATTCCGTGATTGCTGGGTCACCCCCCGGTCAGCTACTTTTCGCATGGGAAAATCATCGCCAGCTGCAGCACGCATCGCATGTGAAGTCGACACTTCTCACAAAGAGCTCAATCTCTTTGTGCATGACCCCTGCAGCGCCGAAGGCAACACAGCACCTCGACGAATACCTCCGACGCTCCTTTCAGGACTCTCCTTCCTTTCGTGCGCGTTCTAGTATCGATTCCTTCTGCAACGAAACACCGACCTCGAAGCTTCGAAGCTCGCCGCGTCCGACCCCTTCGAGGCAGCGACTTCTTTAATACCTCCGCCCACAATGGCGCCTCTCATCCTCCACAATGTTCCCGACGAGGAACTCTACATTGGCGACGACGGTATAAAGCGCCCTTACGCCATGGTCTTCCCTCAGTACGTCCCGACGCGACTTCGACCCTCGAAGGGTCCCACCGCGCAGTGACATCCAGCTAACAACTTCCTCCCGCGCAGACAAGATGGCCTCCCCGGTGCTAGAAACCGCCGCGGCGCCCCAGAGACGGGCTCCTTCGGCAAGTCCACACGTCGCTCCCGCTCCCGCACAGGGACACCCGCCCGCCGCGAGAACCCAACTGTCGCAGCCGCCGACAAGATCTTTGGCGACTGGATCTCCTCCCAGGCGAACGTCACCGCTCTCAACACAGCCGCCAACGCCGGCACCTCATCACAACAACCAGGTACAACCACCAGCTCCTCCGCCGCCGTCGGCACCCAACGCAAGACCTCAGGCCTCTCACAAGCGCCCCTCCTAGCCTCCGAAGAAGCTCCCACCGCCGCCGCAACTGGCCCCCGCCTCGCCCGCCGCGAGCCCACCGAAGTCATCCTCCGCGGCTACCGCTCCCCCTCCCAGCAGTACGCCGCCCTCGCCCACTACGAGCAGCTCGCCGGCCTCATCTGCGAAGACTACCCCCGCGAGCCCCCCCTCGAGCAGCGCCGCTATAAGTCCGAGCTCCGCGACCCGGCCTTCACCCGCCGCCGCGTCCTCACCCCCGAGGAGCGCGCAAAGGTCAACCGCGCCGACGGCGGCGAGCACTGGGTCAAGGTCACCTTCGAGTCCGCCGACGCCGCCGACGCCGCGTGCTACGCCAGCCCCCAGCGCGTCAACGGCTACCTCGTCTACGCGGAGCCCTACAGCGGCTTCCCCCCGGTCCGCGACGAGCCCATCCCCGACGTCGACTCCCTCGTGCCCGCCCACGACGACCTGCACCGCTCCCAGTCCGTACCCGCAGGCGCTTTCGGCAACCATGCCACACCTCGCAAGCGCCTCCAGAAGCCGAACAACCCCTTCGCCGCCAACGCCCGCACCATGTCCGACCTCTCCCCGCCCACGTCCCTCACCTCCTCCAACACGATGGACACCGCGACCATGTCAAACATGTCCTCCGCCACCGTGACCATGACCGACGCCCCGCCCCTCGAGCCCTCCTCGTCCACGTCCCAGTCTACCGCCGTCCTTCAGATGACGACCGAAGACAGCCTCTACTGCCGCCGTATCCCGACCGCCCGGCGCGCCAAGCTCCTGCCCGCCGAGCAGGCCATGCTCCCGCAGCAGAGCTACGCCCAACGCCTCGTCAACGCCGTGCCCTTCCTCAAGTGGTTCAGCGGCTCCATGATCGGCAACGAGGTCCCGCGCACCGACACGGGCGAGTTCGACTGGAACCGCGCCAGCCTGTACTGGAAGGTCATCTGCTGGCTCGACGCGACGTTTGGGCTGTTTGGCGGCGAGATCCTAACCGCCGACAAGGACGACTAGATGTTTTCAGTTTCTTGAGATTAGGAGCCTTTGGGAGGTTTTACGTCACGGGCAGGGGATGGAGGGGAGGCGTTTGGAGGAAAAGTTTCATTTAGCATCATGAATACCACGCACTACTGGTTCTCCTTTTTTACTACTACAACCATACTAGACCGACGGATGATAAGATTGGAGAAGCTGCATGCAGTCTTGAGGAGCAGGGACAACAAACAATACCGAGCTCGCGCAGAGAGAGGAATAAAAGGGATCAAGGTTCTGTATGAACAGTTGTAAGACTATGCCGCGCCGAGGAGGGGCGTCCCTCGATTTTTGTTCTTTCCATAGACGCCTCTAAATGGGTATAACAAGAAATAATTCATGACTCTGGGCCGCCGTCGAACATAAATAAACACACACAAAGGCTCCTTCTTCAAATCGAAACATCAGTCTGCTAGACGTCTTCCTCATTCACACTCCACCGCCTCTCCCGCCGCCCCCTCTCCTCCGACCCCCCGTTGACTGACTCCTCCACCACCGAGCTCCCGTCGTTGCTTTGCCCCCACGGCGTCTGCCCGTCCCGCTGCTCCTCGTCCTCCTCCTTCAGGATGCTGTACCGCCGCTGCTCCGCAGCCCGCTCGTCGACCTGCGACGACTCCTCGCTCAGCCCGACGCCCAGGCTGTCGAACGTCACGTCCGTCGCGTGCCGCCGGATCGGCTGCGGCGAGAACGGCCGCACGCCCCGCGACCGGTTGAACGTCGTGTCTGAGAAGATGCTGTCCGCGTCGTTGTCGTCGCCGAGCCCGGGGGATGCCACCGCCGCGCCGAGGCTCTGGTACCGGTCCGAGTCGCTCAGCAGGCTGTCGCCCCGCGCGTGGCCGCCGCCCTGCCGCGTGACGTCCGAGGCGGCGTCCGCGAGGATGCTCTTGGGCGGGAGGATGCTGAACAGCTTCGCCGTCTCCGCGGACCCGCCGCTGATGCTTGCGTGGTGCAGGTCCGCAACCTCGTCGCTCGCGAATAGATCGGCGCCTTTCTCGAGTAGCTCGTCCAGCCCGCCGCCGCTCCACCCTTTCCGTGCCAGGCTCTCGAAGATGTCGACTTCCGCGCGGACGAGGCTGCACGAGGCCTCGAGGATGCGGCCGCTGGTGTCCTGGCTCTCGCGGAGGAGGGTGCGCGCGTGGCCGCCGTGCAGCGCGGTCAGGCCGTCGAGCTTGGTGGTTAGCTCGACGAGGTGGGCGCGGAACTTGCCGACGTCGCGGCGGCGCTGCTTGTGCAGCTTCAGGCCGTCCTTCTCGAGCTTCTGGATCTCGCGCGAGCGCGCCTGGACCTCGCGCACGTAGATCTCCTCCTCGTCGTCGACGCGCTGGCGCCACTTGTCGAGCTCGTGGAGGAGGGGCACCTCGAAGTCGCGGTAGACGGTCTCGGAGAGGATCTGCTGGTGGTTTGCGACGAGGTGGTGGACGCCCGAGGCGGAGAGGAGGAGGTCGGCGGTGCAGGCGGTGTTGGAGCCGGCGCCGGGGAAGCTGGAGGAGAGGGCGGCGCCGTTGGGGTGGGTGCTCGCGGAGAGGGACTCGGCGCGGGCCTCCTTGAGGCGGGCGCAGGACTCGAGGGCGGAGCCGAAGGCGGAGGCGGCGGTGGAGAGGGTGGCGAGGGCCTGGCGGTAGGCCTTTGCGGTCTGGAGGAGGTCGGTGTAGGAGGTCTGGGACTGCTCGAGGTCGGCCTTTGTGAGGATGGCGTGGACGGGGCGCGGGGGCGGCGGGAGGGGGAGGTTGAAGGAGGAGAGGGGGTTCGCGGTGGAGGCGAGGGAGTAGACGGGGGAGCCCGGGATCGGGGGCAGCTGGGAGGGCGTCGGGGTCGCGGGGCGGGTGTCGGAGGAGCCGTTGGCGGCGGCGGGTGTAGGTGGTGAGGTTGCCATTTGTGTGAGGTTTCGGTTTTCGTTTGGAGGGGTTCTTGCTGATCCCTCCGGAAGGGTGGAGGGGGGAAGGTGGAATGCAGCTGCGTTGAGGCTATTTCGGGATGCTGTTTATTGTGGCAACCAACGCTGCGGGGGTTTCGCGGGCTGCGTTGCTGTGGCGGGAGCTCGGGTTTTGTTGGTTTGTTTGGCTAGCTTATCGCGCTGAACAGGGCAGTCTCATCGTCAGGTCGTGATGTAGGAAACGGAGGACGAAGGAACGGGAACCTTTCAAAGGTTGAGGTCTCTAGGAGGAGGAGAGAGGGAAGGGGAAAGAAAAATAAGGAATATTTTAGGTGCTCTCTAAAAAAAAACAGATGAAATCGCTGAAGATGGTTCTGCAAGATGCTGCAAAGCTTCCTTGGAAAGGCGATTGCGGTTGGCGCATGTGGGTCGCCGCCATGGTCCATGGTGCAGGTAACAGCACACACGCACAGCAGCCCAAAGGTACTTACTTACTTAGTAGGGGTCCTTGTGATTCGAGGGGGCAACTGCTGACCGCCGCACCCTGCCCACTGGGCCGCTGGGCCGCAGCAAGGTGGTGTCCGGCCGTTACCCGGAAAGGCCCTGTGCTTGCGTGCTGCGGCGCCACCTCGCGGACGCTGCAGCCGCGATAAGACCCCTGGCTGGAACCACTTTGGGCTCTCGTTAGCGTCATGGCCGTTTGAACGGTGTGTCTTGCAGATGGACTTAGCTCGGCCGGTCGTCGTTGGGGAGTTGTTGGAGAAGACAACTGACTCTTTTGTGATAGAAAATATGAGACAAAAACGAGTGCGTGTGATGTTGTGAGACGGAAGGCGGCGGTACTTAGCTTAGTCTCGGAGTGAGATGAACTATTACTATCATTCCCGGGTGTATGGGGCCGTAAGTGAGTCTCAACCACGGAGGTGAACCCGAGCCCGGCTCGACGAACAACACATGCAGCAGCCAAGATCAGCGAGGTGGGTCTGAGAAGAAGTACAGAACGCAGAATACGCCTCACTTTATTGTTGCACCATCAGACTTTCCCATGTTGACTCGACGACGTTGTTACGCCAACTCCGTACGGAAAATGAAGCCCGTCGTTACCACTTACTCCCAGGCTCATAACACGATGATTCTTAAAATAAAGTTTACACAAATGTTAGCTGAGGACGCAGTAACGGCTACGCTTCAGACTTGGCCGGCTCCACGTCTGGCAACGCAACCCGGAACGTCCTGAGCACGGGTTTGACGATCTTGCGCCGGACACCAGAGTCCTGGTACTGCGGTCGATGTCAGACGGCTCTGACTTTCAAGGCCGAAGTAGTCATCAAGTCCATTTACCCAAAACTTAGTGCTCGGTGAGTAGGACAATTCAGCGTGTTCATAGTCGGTGAATTCAGCAGAGTGCCTGAGTATCTTGTCAATAATCTGCAATGCATTCGTTTGGTCGTCCATGAAACCGCAATTATGGCAGAGGTTGGAAACTTGAAACATCTCAGTGCTTAAAAGCTGTTCTATAAACATATGAATCGTACTAGATAGATATTAGCGACCATACACACCCACTACAAAGAGACAAAAATGGTAAATAGAACGGATATCAAGTTAAGCGCCACTTCAATTAATGACTGATTAACTAAGCCCCCTCGGGTTGGCAGCGGTACTGCAGAATGTAATGGTGGTTTCAAGCAGGCTGAGCTGAAAGTCCTTTTGGTCTCTAATAGTTTAGCAGACGAGTTTTGTCGGTATCAAGATAAGGCTCGTCGTGGCTGCTTACGGTGTTTCTTCACCGAGGTGGTCAAGTGATGCAGTGTGCAGCTCTTGGCAATCATTACGACCCAATGACGCTCAAATCAATTAGCGAGATCTCCATCACGCCTTCTAAAGTATCCTTCAAGGCAAGGACTTCCCAGCTTCTCAGGCTTTTATAAGTAGGCCAACGCTGCCACATGCCTTGATAATTCAAGTCGTTGGTAGTGGTCATCAAAAGCTGGAAGACACAGACACCTTCAGTAATTCTATTCACAAGCTTTCATTTCTCATTTTCCAAGAACTTACCCGAGTGATATGGCTTCGCCTCGTTTACCCCTCGGGTGCTACAATCCTGGGGAATACCACAGTCCGCCATGTTGCTACCCAGACAACCTGACGCAGGCTGAGTGTAGGGCCTTCATCGGACCGGCTCAAGGGAATACGATACTGGATTTGGCATTCCCGGGCGCCAATTACTTGGTGGAATGTCAGAACGTCACAAAGCTCTACGGTGAAATCATCGACATGCCAGACCAGCCTAATTATCACAGCATTCAAAGATACATGGCTTGTGTGGCCGTCCCTGCCCTTGCGAGTTACGAAGCCAACGGTTTCCTGCTCCCTAGTCAGTCGGCACTAGTTCAACAGTACATTCCGCGAGAGAATGCTACGCAAGATACTCTAAGAAACATCACGGCTGCTGTCACAGAATGTCTCACACACACTTGTCAAGCTGCGAGAAACAAAACCTTCTGTTACAGCCAGTCCTGCGCCCCTACACGCCTCTTAATCAACAGCACGATGCCCAATCAGACGGCTATCAACGAATGCCTATTCGCACTATGCAAAAATGGCTTTGACGCCTTGCCCTACGCAAACTCTGACATCATCGGCATTGGGGTAAATGCAAGCATGCCATCGAGTAGATTCAAGTATGGCTTACACAATGTTCACCTCCAGGTCTTTGCATCTTATCTTGTTCAGCTGATTCTCGTCATCATCCTATGGCTGGGTCTTGTTGCGAGAGCCGTCAGGAGGCGGACGAACGGCACGAACAAACCAGCGGCGGATTCATCAGGCGGACAAGCGGCTCGCAACGGTTGGCTTGACTTTCTCTTTGGAATCCACAAGGCTCAGTGCTATTTCGCCGGCGCATTACTAGTCGCCATTCTCGCATCTGACATCGTCGATGCCAATGTGGCCATGGTTATCCTCCTGCTGCCTCTTACCATCAACGGCATTGTTCCGGTCGCCTTCGCCTACGTGATGCTCGTCTACGAGCGTTTGCATTCATCAGCAATCACTCTTCTCACGGTTGCCATCTATGTTCTTGCCACCGCCGCTTCTGGCATTCTTTACATCAGACTAAGACTTCTTGTCCCATCCGACCTAGGTTATTGGACCCTCGTTCAATACATGTACCAGCTCTCGGCAATCGAGTCTTGTGGAGGCTCCTCTGCTTTGACGGCATGTCCGGGATTGATACCTTACAAAAGAGAAGAGCTTACTGATGCAATCAAGCGCCTTGTGGTCATGTCTCCGTTGGTCTGGTGCGTCTCAACTGCGGCTCTTTTGGGGGTGCTTGCCACGGACACCTGGACACGGGTTGAAAGACGCCAATCACGTATCACGCGCTGGATGAGACAGGATATGCCAGGCAGAATTTACATCAAATTCGGAAGAGTTCGCCTTTCCTCGCTGGGCTCTGCTATATTCTGGCTGACAACGTTGGTTCTTGTCGGTTGCGTGATATTCCACATGTCTCTCCTGACCATCGCCCTCTCTGCGCAAACCTTCGATATCGGAGACTGGGGGTTTGGGCAGGTTGTGGCTGTCACTGTGTGGATACCGCCGGTACTTGAGTATCTGTACTCCCTATTGAGTAAGTATCGATCCCCGATTCTCGGACGGCGGATAGTGATTGCTCGTCTGTACTTTTCTGAATGCTCAGTTTTACTAAATGCTCGCAGGGGAGCGAGTGATGCATGCACGGAAGAAAAGATCCGATGCAAACAGAGTCGACGAATACGCTGAAGAGCACCCTTTGCTGCCAATGCCTCGGGGGCTGGGCAAGGCTAGAACGTATCCGGGAGGTGCAAGAAGGAGGCTATCTTGAATATGAATGTGTCTTTAGGATAACTCGTAAGCGATAAGCGTAGCTCTATCGTGTCTTTCTAGCCGTTCGGCAACGTCTCTTCTCTTAGGATGTAGTAACGTATTTCATCAGACCTCTTTCCATCTACTTCTTCTCAGTAGGCGGCAGCTGCTTCAACAGAAACGCCTCGACATCGTCCAGCTCCTCCAAGCAAGCAGAGTGACCCATGCCCCTATACGGTCTCAAAGTCAGCATACACAACTCCCAGCCAATAACCCATCAGCCAAACCAGAACAGGGGAAACAGAGTACTCACGGGTAAAGCGTCCTCGACACATCATACCCCAACTTCTTCAACGCCTCCATGCTCAGCGCGCCCAGCTCCGGCCTCACCAGCGGGTCCGCATCGCCGTGGCCCAAGAAGATCGGCGTCGCCTGGTTCGGCTTGTCGGCGGGCACCAGCGACGCGAAGCGCTCGCTGAGCAGCAGCCAGCACGACAGCCCCACGATGCCGGCGACCTTGTGCGTGCCCGTGAGGCCCGAGAAGATGGCCATGGCGCCGCCCTGGCTGAAGCCGCCGAGCACGATGCGGTCCGCCGGGATGCCGGCGTCGACCTCGGCCTGGACGAGGCTGTGGAAGTACTCGTTGGACGCGAGGATGCCCGGCGCGTCCTCGTTCTCGCGCAGCGACTCGACGGTGCCGTCGAGCTTTTTCTGCAGGATGGCCGCGGTGGTTAGGGGGGACGGACCGGGGGGGATGCGGTGGCGGTCTAGGATGGAGGCGCGACTTACAATGTCGAACCAGCCGGGCATGCGCATGCCGAAGTTCTGAGGCGAGGGGTCGCGTTAGCGTGTTGGTCATGAGCATCTCACTCATCATCCCGTATGGTGAGTAGGCATGAGATGAGATGAGAATGAAGATGAGACAGGCAGGGAAACTCACACAGGTGATGGGGATCTGCGGCGCGTGAGGCAGGACGAACTTGACCTCGTCCAGCCTCTGCCTCCGCCTCCAGTTCTCGACGGCGCTGGCCCAGCCGTTGCCCGTGTCGCCGAGGCCGTGGGCGAAGATGACGGTCGCCGTGTGCTTCCCGGCGGCCGGGAACACGAGCGGGGCCGCGCGGCTGATGGACGACATGTCAACTGCTACTGGTGGGGTTCCGCCAAAGAGGGAGTCTTGCGGGACGGCGGCGAGCGGGGGGTACTGTTCTTGGTGTTGGGGTTCGGAGACGGTGAGGTGTGCGAGGTTGGCGAAGACGACGAGCGTTGTTGCGATGAGCCCGCGGAATGAGAGCATTGAGAGCAAAGGGCAAACTGGAGGTCCAAGCTGAGGGCCGGATGGGAGAGCTCAAGGTGTCCACTTTTGGTTTTTTCCTGGTGGCTCCGTTCCGATGGGTGGGGTCGCTGATTGGGAAGATCTGTGGTGTGCCGGCGCGGCGTGTAGATCCGTCTGGAACGCACTGTGGGGCGGATGTCAGATGCGCGGGACAAGATGCAGTGTTCGGAGGCTCGCCTATGGCAATTGCCAAGTACTTCTCTCAAAAATAGCTCCATAGGGAGTAAATATCATGCCAAGGAATCACAAACTATACAATCCGGGGAAGACGGGGGCCTTCCTCGGAATACCACCGGCACAGCGGATTTAAACTCACCGTCAGCCCACGAGCGGGTCCCTTCAGCGCATTCCCGCCACTAAATCACCCCGAAACACACAGTGGACCCGGCCGCGCGCGACGAAAACCACCCCGCCCATCACCACGCCGGCCCCTCCGCAACGCCCTCCGTCCCTCACCCGGTTCGGGTAAGGGGTCCTCACCGATGTCCGATGTGCAGAGTATCAACTCACATAACTCCCAGCCGACGAACACATCCAGGAGAGATGTGATTATCCCCCCCCTCTGAATCCAGCACACACAAAACGCCGAGTCTGGATTGAACCCTCACCATGGCCCGTCTAAACCCAATATTCCTCCTCTCCCTCCTCGTCGCCCTGCTCGCATACATATTCTCCCCAACCCTGCGATCCTTCTTCACAGCCGTGACATCAACCCTCTCGAAACCATCGCCAATGGACTCAACCTCGCCATCACCACCGCCAAAAAGGCCCCGTATGCCAGTCTACTTCTTCTCCCACGGCGGCGTAAGCTCCCCCTTCCCCGGTCCCCTCCCCTTCCCCCATCCACTAACACCCTCCAGCCCGATGTAATGTACAACAAAGCCCACCCAGTCTACCCAACCCTCCAACACATCGGCCACGAAATAACCTCCCTCCGCCCCTCCGCAATCCTCGTCTTCTCCGCCCACTGGCAATCCCGCTCCCGCACCTCCGTCAACATCAACGCCGCCCCGGGCCCCGCCCCCCTGATCTACGACTTCTCCGGCTTCCCCCTGCACTACTACTCCGCCTCCTACCCCAACACCGGCTCGCCCGCCCTCGCCTCCCGCACCTGCGCCCTCCTCGCCGCCCACAACATCTCCTGCGTGCCCACCACCGACCGCGGCCTCGACCACGGCGTCTGGGCCGGCTTCCACGTCGCCTTCCACCCGGACACGAACCCCCTCGGCTGCCCCCTCGTCCAGGTCTCGCTCTTTGGCTCGGAGGACCCGGACGCGCACTACCGCCTCGGCAGGGCCGTCGCCGAGCTGCGCGACGAGGGCGTCGTCATCATCGGCGCCGGCATGTCTGTCCACAACCTGTACGACATGGGCGGCGGGCCGGAGCCCATGCCGTACTCTGTCAGCTTCGACGACGCCCTGAAGAAGGCTGTCGAGAGCAAGGCGGAGGACAGGCAGGAGAAGATGGCGCAGGTGTGTATGAGACCGGATGCTAAGCAGGCGCATCCTTGGATGGACCATCTCATGCCCGTTCACGTTGCTGCCGGTGCCGCGGGAGACGACCTTGGGAAGCAGCTGTGGACCATGCAGGAGGGCAGCTTTGCATGGGCCCAATATCGGTTTGGGTCGGTACCAAAGACGTGACGAAAGCTTTCTCAATAAGCGTAGCACATCTGTATTATTATCATTGACTCGAAATAATTTCTACCACGACATAGAGCATAACACTCTCCCCAGGCACTCAGACCATTTGCTCATTTCTCAAGTAATAAGCATGCATACTCATCTATTAGGACGTTGCCTTCCTGTTATCGTAAACTCCTGCCGTCGGTACTCCATCTTCATTATCATAACGCTGTTGTAAACCTTCGCATCGCGGCTTGCTTGCCTCCACATTGACGCTACTAATCACAAGAATGCTCTCGAATGCTCGCTTCTGACCATGGCTCGATGTCTGTCGCTGAGAAAGTTCTCAACCATCTGCTGACTACCAAGCTTCTGAGCCCTCCAGTCATCAGAACTAGTCGTGTCTGAGGTGTCTGTGCTGTTGAAATCGCTCGAGTCCAAAAGGCGACGACCACTGCCACTTTGCCGTCTCTCTCTGGGCGAACCCCAATTGACCTGGTCACTGCCCAGCATTGGGCCGAATTGTTTCTCCACCGTCATGCCGAGCCCTGGGCTGGAGACTGACGGCTTGAGGCTCTTCCGTAGCCCAACACGCCGGACCAGCTTCATAGGCGATCGAGTCTTCGGCTTCATCTCGGTCGACGTGAAATCAGGCATTGTATCAGAGCTGCGCACCTTCGAAGTCGCTCTGTTGGGTGACTTGACGGGAATATTGCTCTGGGATGAACGCGCCTGAAGCAGTGGCATTGAGGGAGTTTCTCGGAGAGAGCTTCGGGGTGGAATCGGTGGTGGTCCGTACACACGAACATGACCGTTTACTCGGCCCTCTGAGTAAGGAATCGCATTCTCATTGCTGTAAAGAGCGGAAGCCTTGGGCAAAAATGCACCCTCAGCACGGCTGGCTGATGATGCCTGACGATTGTGACTCATTGTACGAAGTGGTGTATGAAACTTGATAGGGCCAGTCGGTTTGTACATCTTGGGCTCATCTTCAGCGTACATCTGAGCTCCCTCGCGTACATGCCCTTTCGGCATACTGGGCTTGGCGTATCTCACCTCCATCATCTGTCTAACAGGCGCATGAAGGTCATTATTGGATGCGTTTGCCGAGAGATAGGTCTTCCATTCGACAGAGCTGGCATACGACGGGGTTCTGGCCTCAGTGTCGGTTGGCATTGTCGGTATGTATGTCAAAGGCTCGCATGGCGTATGAGACCGCGACCGTCCGTGGGAGCTAGACCTAGTGGATGCGTTTGCTGCCCGCTCAGTAATGTCCGAGTAGCAACTCTTAGAATGCGTGAGCCCGTTAGTCCTGGAAGACGACCCGACACTCGGACGACGAGGACGAACAGCGCCGGGAGCAACCAACGCCGACGTCAGAAGCTCCGACGAGAGAAGCTGCGGCGATAGCAGCCTCGGTGACATGGGCTGGTCAGAATAGATGCTGTCCGAATAGGCCAGACGGGGGTCATCGCCAGAGAGACTTGGATGACGTCTCGTGGATACCAGATCCAGATTCAGCTCGGGAGGCGCAGATGACTCAGAGCTGCTCTCCTTCATTGACTTCTGCAACGCTCGACGGTAAGGACTTGTAGTCCGGAACAAGTGGCACGTCGGGCTGCCAAAGAAGGCCGAGCTTCGAGTAGACAGCGTTTTCGGAGCAGCCGAGACCTCTCTAACGGTGACAGGCAGAACCCTTTTCTCGTCACCTACTGCAGGTCCAGGATACGGGCTGTATTGTGCGCCCGTGGGAGCGATCCTTGTGGGATAGTGGATGACGCTCCCTGATTCCGAGAATGAGCCATCTTCAGTCGTCTCCACAATGCCGACAGGAGGTATCTGAGTCGGCGGGTCATCCCGGAAAACGTCGTCGTCTGACCGTACACATCTGATTGTTGGCGGGCTGTCATCCAGCGACCTGCGTAGTTTCTTTGCCTCCTGCTTCTGGAAGTCCTCGCTGCTGGCCTCTCGTATGTTCTCTTTCTGGTTGACCTCATACAGCCGATTCATTAGCGCAGAATACACCCTCTGGCTGTCGACTGCTGGAGGAACAGGCGGACCGCTCGGTTTTTGAGGAGACACAGCCTCGAATTCGTAAGGACTGCGTTCGTCCATGGTTGGTCGACGAAACGATGACGATGAATGATGTGGCCCATTTTCCTTGATGACGGAAAGCCTCTGCCGATCTCTTTCCCCGCCCCAAGAGCTTTGGCTGTTGAGAGTGTGCGTTCCTGAGCTTGTCCAACTTGTGACTCGAGACTTCTCGTCGGACTGATCATCCAAGACTTTCCTGAGGCTTTCGATGCTCTCTATGCTGCCTTGACGAGATCGAAGCTGTTGAGCGGACGATGAGGCATGGAGAGAGGGTACGCGTGATGGGACCTGGGAGATTGAACATTCGTCCAGCACTGGGTCGTCAATATCCATATAGGCGTCATCGTCTACGTCTCTGTCGCCTTCGTCGTGGCTTCCAACCCCTGCTTGTGACTCCATCTTTCCCTCTAGCCCTTGCCCCTCATTCTTGGTGAGCCCGAAGAAAGACTTCAGCCTAGTTTTGAAACCATTGGACACTTTTCGGGCTTTCTTGCGAAGGGAGCCGTTGCGCTTCGGAACCGCAAGGTTGCCCGCTGAGGGATCTCTCATGGATTGACGAATGCCCTCCTTGTTTGAAGTGAACAACCTCGAGGTGCGGCTTTGAAGGGGTGCTTGTCCGTCTCCACCGAAGTTGTTTCCGCTGTTTTCGCTTTCATTGGTATTCGTCCGAAGATTGGACCTTGTCGCTGTGGACTTCAGGAAGCTCATAGACTTTGGAGCTCTGAGACTGCGGTTTCTTTTTGGTGACTTGCTCTCCTTGATGTTCTGCATCGACTTCCGCCTGAGTGCAGGTGTGGGAATTTCTTGCCCCGGGGAATTGCTGAAGTAGTACTTAGGCGTGGGAGTCTGGCCTGTTGGGGAGAACATGGACCTAGACTTGCGGAGCTTCCTGTACGAACCTGGGACAGACGCACATTCGTCTACCGGTCTGTACGACTCGGCAGGAGGTAGAGACTCGACAAATTTGGCTGTGAATGGGTTGAAGCACGGTGATTCATCGGCCTTCTGGGGCGCTGCGTGGTTCTGCTGATTTTCGATGCGACTCAGAACACTTCGGCGTCGGGGGATGCCGGTGCCATTGGCGGCATTGTTCTTGCTTGACTTGGCAAACCGGACGCTCTTTTGCCGCCGGAGTCCGTTCTCATCGCAGGTTCCGTCCAGCGTCCCCTGCTGGCTACCAGAGTCTCCAGAGTATTCTGTGAATACCGATTGTAGAGGGGGACGGGATACCGCTGGGACCATGGTCGGAGCGGCCTGACACCAAGAGAGAGTAGCAGCAAGATGGGCATCTCTATCAGCAATGGCGGGGTCGATATGTTCCAACCTCTCCAGGGCTGAGCGGAAAGAAGTTGTCGATCTGGCCGACTTGGACCTGCTCACCCCCGAGGTCGACTTGTTGCTGTTGCTCCGACGCATCTGGGGCGGCTTCTGTAGGAGAAGTCAGAGGCAGGGTAAGAGAAGAGTACAGTAGGTATGGGGGTGGTGAGCGGTGTAGGGAATTCAGATGAGGCTGCTGATGGTTAAGTGCGATGGTAGCTAACCAAAAGCGAACCGCGAGAGCGTCGGAAGATCGAGGATGTTGTATATCGGTTCATGGAGGTTGAATGCGGGAGAAGAAGAGGCGAAGTGACGGAGTGGTTGTAAGCCAGGCAATGCAATGCCTTGGAGGTGACGCCGTATAGCACCGGGAAGGAACTCCATGATTGCTCTTTCCACGGGGCTGAGTGAACTCTGAGAGAAGAGACGAGAATGGAAGGACCGTTCAACCAGCGCCAGAGGCAGGAGAACGGCAGGAGGGGGCCTGATCCCTGGTTTGGGCAGGCATGAGGTGGCGCTGGCAAGCGCCAGCTGTTTGTCATTCCTTCCCGAGATGGAAGACACAGCATTCCAGTCCCAGCACGCTGCTCAACGGGCAAAACGGCAAAGTGTAAACCGACTTATCGATATGGAGGATCGACCATGTAGAAACCATGTGCTGCCATATGTCTTACGCAGAGTCTTCCAACCCTCTCGAAGGGGGTTGGCAGCGATCTGAGAGAGGCAAGCATGAACCGTTAGGCTGTCTAAGCTGACCATCACCAAGCCGAATGGGGACGACTGCCTGGCGGCTTACTCACAGAGTTGAACAAAGTTTGCCAACATCATGCTCCGTTGGTTGGCTTGGCTGGGGTTACTAAGAGAGTTGGGACGAAGGGACTGCTCACCTGCCATATGTCATCACAGGTTCACAACTCAATCACTGGCTCAAAGCGCGTCAAGGTTCTGATAGGTAAGGAGACTTAATTCGTGCTGTGAGATCTGTATGTAGCCATGAAGCAATGCATTCCCATCCTAACCCATCCTGCAATGTAACCCTATGCATACACTGTCATTGACCCAGAAAAACGTAAGGAAATAAATTAGACCAGTCTAGCGTTCTATTACGACGCTTACAAGGAGGTCTCCTTGAGGAACTCCTTCAGCTCCTCGTCCACGAGCTCGTGGATCTTCTTAGCGAACTTCTCGGCCTTGGTGCCGACAGTCTTGGCGCCCTTGACAACCTTGCCGGAGAGAACCTCGAAGTCCTCCTCGATGGCCTTCTCGAGGTCGTCAATGGTGACCTCCTTGGCCTGCTGCTTAACAGTGTAGCCGCCAGCCTCGACGATGGCAGAGTAGTTGTTGCAGCCACCGCCGTTCCAGGCGAGGACGTTGGGGGTGTCGCGGGGAATGTCAGCGAGGGCGCCAACGGTACCGACGGAGATCAGAGCCTTCTTGAGCTTCTCCGGGGTGATGGCAGCAACAGCGTACTCAGAGTCAGAAGCAGGCTGGAGAGAGAGGTAGTAGGCAAGAAGACCGCAGATGTGGGGGGAGGCCATGGAAGTGCCGGAGATGGTGTTGACGGCGTACTTGGAGCCAATCCAGGTGGACTTGATGTTGGTGCCAGGGGCGAAGATGTCAGTGCACTTGCCGTAGTTGGAGAAGTAAGAGCGGCGGTCGCCGAGCTCAGTGGCACCGACGGTGACGGCCTTCTCAGCAGCGGCGGGGGAGTAGTTGCAAGCATCAGCGTTGTCGTTGCCAGCGGCGACGGCGAAGTGGATACCAGCATCGACGGCAGCGTTCACAACAGCGTCCAGAGCCTGGGTCTTGCCACCACCAAGAGACATGTTGGCGACGGAGCCCTTGAAGCCCTTGCGCTTACCGTCCTTGGCAGACTGGACCTGCTCAGTGTGGGAAGTGGCAGCCCACTCGACACCCTTAACGACGTCGGACATGGTACCAGAGCCGTTAGAGCGAAGGACCTTGACGGCGTAGACATTGGCCTTCTTGGCGACACCGTACTTCTTACCGGCGATGGTACCGGAGCAGTGAGTGCCGTGACCGTTGCCATCGACGTCCTGGTCACCAGAGGGAATGGTCTTGCCCCACTTGGCACGGCCCTCGAAGTCGACGTGGTCGACGTTGGTTCCGGTGTCGATAACGTAGGCATCAACACCCTCACCGGCATCACCGGCGTACAGGTACTTGTCGTAGGTACCGAAGCCCAGGGACTTGCGGTGGGAGATGCGGGCAAGACCCCAAGGAGCAAGCTTCTCAAGCTCGCCGTCGCACTTGTCCTCAACCTGGGACTTGACGGGGACCTGGGTGTGGACAACGGAGTCGACCTCGATGAACTCGACCTGTATGTAGATGGAATTGTCAGCGATGGCTCGATAGCAAGGTGATAAGACAACAGCCGAAGCTATCCGACCGAGCTCGGTGATGCGCCGCCAAGCGCCGGTGGGTCTCGCAGTGTTTGGGCAGTGTCAGAATGGTCGGACTTACGTCAGGGTGTCTGCGGATCTTCTCGATGGTGTCCTCGTCGAAGTGACCGGCGTAGCCCAAGAAGTCCTTGCCGATCTTGTAGGTGTGCTTCAAGCCGTGGAAGACGTCAGAAACCAGAGGCTCCTGGCTGCGCTTGCGAAGCTCGAGGCGCTCGTCCTGAGCGGAGGAGTGAATCTGCTGGACCCAGGTGTGGTGGTCTGAGGCACCAGACTCCGAGACGTGCTTCTTGAACTTGATGATGTACGAGTTCGGGACGGCCTCGGCGTTGGTGGCAGAGAGGACTGGAGCCATGCCGTCGTGGACGGTCTGGATTGAGAGGGAGGGGGTGGCGCTGACAACAGCAGCCAGGCCGGCAACGGCACCGACGAAGCCTCTCATGATGGCGGTTGCGATATGGTAACGAGTCTAGAGTCTACCGGAGACGTTTGCAAACAAGACGAAGGAAATGAAGTTACTGAAAAGCCGCCACAGAACGACGAGTACGCGATGGGTTTGGAGAGGATGGGGTCAATGGAAGAGAGAGGGAGGGGGATGAGAGAGAGATGGAGCAAACGAGACGGGGGAAGCTTCGGAGAGCGGGTGCGGGTAGATATAAAGGGAAGGCAGCGACGGCGGTTGCGTGCGCACAGCTGTTGGTGAGGTAAGGAACCTGTTGCGATGGATGGGGACCTGGCAGGTACACTACCACACTACCTCCACTCCCACACCATGAGGTACCTCACCTGGTGCATTTGCGCAGTGTTCGTGGAGTCCGGCGCAAGCAAGTACCTTACCAAGTTACCAGGCTGCTATCGGCCGGTCTTAGGACGGCTGCGCGCCCCCCAGTGTGACGCAGCCAACTAAGATAAGAGCTGGGGAGTGGCTGACGGGGCCGAAACCGGCTTAGCGCTGGGGCGAGGGAGCCAATGGAATGACTCGATAGGGTTTCCTCGGCAATGCGATAAGGGAGGGTCGCGTTTGGGGTTTCCCTGGGACGCTCAGCAAGGCACCTGGTTCGATACGGAAGGCTGTTTGGGATGGGAAAGTGCGTATGGCCGATAGGGAGGTACTTTCTCTGCGACTCACGCGAGTGCCCTTTCCGTCAGGTACACCTACCTTCTACCTTCCTTCCATACCTGTTGGGGCAGGAAGCACCTGCTGGTGGACATCCAGTTGCCTCCTCCCACGGCACCGAACGGCCAGGGAAGCTTCATCTCAAGCTCCCGTCCATCAGTCTGATCAGCCAACGGTTTCTTTCTTTGGTCTATTCATCTGAATCAGCCTCGTGATCCTCTGTTGGGGTTGCGATAAGCCAACAATTCTTGCTCTCGCGCTCTCTGGGTTCGCACAAGCAGCAAGGTCCGGACAAGACTGCAGCTGGAGAGTCAGAGTCACAGCCAAAACCCCGACGTCATCACACTCTGTACCCCAACAGCCAAGGCGGTCGCGAAGTTACTGCGGCAATCAACCACCGTGTCGAAACATGGGCAGGCAAACAGGGTGGCCGAACAGCCCTGAATACCTCCTCGACCCATGCTTCTGACAGCGTATCCTAGCATCGTCAGGGAGCTATTGAACGCGGTGTCGTCCATCCAGACGGTGTCACCCGTGACCCTGGGAAGAAGAAACAAGCAGACGAAGACAGCTCGACGCCAACGCAAGGTACCTGCTCTGCCAGCCAGCTAGCCAGCTCACCACAACACGGCCTTCGCCGCCGCCCAGCCTCGGACACACTTTTCTGCTGCTGCCAAATCATGTACCGCACTATCAGCTCTCCTCATGCATTCTTCACCCAGCTTGGAGAGCTCTCCCCTCCCAACCCACCAGGGGCATCCACACAGTCCGCATATCCCGCATAGCGCTGCATGCGATAACGCGCAATGGGCGATTCACATTCACGCAGCGGAGAGCGAGGCAGATCTATCCGGAGGACCCTGAAGCTTAACAAGCGCTGCCATCCCGTCTTATCTCGACACTCGAAGCTTTCGTCGTTTCGTTGAACTGGGCTACCGACCACTCACAGGGATGGGGAGCCGCATGGCCGTCGTGTTCAGAAAATCAGACAGTCCGTATTACCCTGTCACCGTCTTTTTCACCTTCAATCTACCTTCCTGGGCCTGTTGATCTGACCTCGGAAGGGCGGAGGGACAGGGCATGTCGGGCATGTCACTGGGAGTGCGACTGCGGCTTCGGTCAGCGAGCTACCCTTAGCTTGTTGTGCAGCACCGCTATGCAGCCAGGACCGTACCAGCCAGGGCGGCGAGCAGCAAGTCGGGCTGCGTATCGCACCGCCCGCCCCATTGAGCATGTAACTTGCTCAATGATGATGTGATTAACTGTAATAAGGTATCCGGCGCAACTGGGTCTCACGGGGTCTCACGGGAACACTGCCAGGCCGGGGATTGAAGGCGAGGCGGGAGAACTCAAGGCCTGCGTAGCCACTGGAGCTGTCGCTGTTCGTC